TAATTGACTTGAAACTTTTTGCTCGGGATTTTTTTTGGATAGCTAAATAAGAATCTGAGTTTGGATTTTCAAAATTCAAAATACCTTATTCAAAATGGCGGCATAATTTAAAAAAAATTATACTTAATAATAAAAATATTTTTCTAGCTACGGTGTAACATTTTTTTAATAATTTATAAAGCTAATTTTTTGCAAAAGGTTCAAATTTTTAAATAAAATAAAAAATAAAATGGAAAGACGGGATGGACGGTTAGTCGAAAGAATATTTATATTTAATTTAAATATAATTACAATTTTTATTTATAATTTTATCGTAAAAAATTTTAATAGCCAATAAAAATGTGTGATATTTTCATCATATATTCTTTAATAAAATTTGCCATAAATTGTGTATATATACTATGTCTCTTTATCTAATTTGGCTTTTATCAGTGACATGTGATTTCGATATTTCCGGTATACAATATGAATATTGGAAAAGTATAAACGTTCAATGCTCTATGACCGTGCATAAATATATATAGTGGCATAATAAATCTGATTTTTTTAAAAATATTTTTATAATTTATTGATCAGTAAACGATCTTAAAATGTTTTTCAAAATTTTTTTTCAAAATTAGTTTTTACACTGAAAAAAAATTAATTTTATACAGATAAACAATTAATTGTCTATTGACAAATAAATATTTACTTGAATCAAATAATTTTTATTTGAATAAAATAATTTTTATTTGAATCAATTAAATGGTGTTTGCTATAAATACTATGATATTATTTGCTTAAATAACTTTTATTTGATTTAAATAAAAATTACTTTATTTAAGTAAATGTTTATTTGATAATAGACATGTAATCAAATTTGAATCAAATAATAATTTTTTTTTTCAGTGTATTATTGTATTATCTTTGTATTAATATTTTTTTCTTATCTAATAATCTTATCTAATAATGTTTTCTTTGTATTAATTAGTGTATTAATATTATTATAAAAAACAATTTTTGTTGATTTTTAATTACTATTGTTAATCGTTAATTATACGTACATTATTTGCAATTAATAAATGAAAATCAATAGATGTAAATAATAATTTTTGAATTTAAGAAAAGCGTGTTTTCTTATAATTAAATTACATAAATTTTTTAATGTCAGAGTCCATAAATTTCGATGGAAAAGTAATGAAAAAAAAAGAATAGTCTTAAAATAACTTTCCTTATAATAAGGATGTCACGTGCGAGCCCTAAAAAATTTTTATTTGTATTATATTTATTGTTAAGTCGGTGGCTTATATAGGTGTGGCCTTTGACCTGCCTAGCCCTTTATATGCTAATGCATTACACCTTCCTCAACACACTACTTAATATTTTCAATTAATTTAATTGTGCAGCTAATTGAAAATTTCATTATTCAAATATGAAAAAGAAAAATTATCAATAATTTTTTATTCATAAACAAAAAATTACTAACCTACTTTTGTATAAAGGAAGCATACGTGTTATACTTTTAATAGTTTAAAATACTTATAGAAATTTTATTTTTATTTATTTATTTATTTATTTTATTTTTATTTATTTTATTTATTTTTTTTTTATTTATTGACAATGAATTATTTTGATTAAATATAGTTTTACGTCCATCACTTAATGAATTATTGAATTAAATATTTTTACAAGGCCTTAGAAACGTATTAATTAGTGTCTCTCATTTGATAAAAATATAAAAAGAATTAATTTAAAAAAGATTAAAATTGTTTATTTTTAATACTTTTATACTCTTATTGCATTCAATATTCGATATTTTAAAAATTTATCTATATTCTTTTTAAATTATTATAAGTTTTTTGTTTTCAAATATACTTTACGTGTAAGAAAAGAGCAATAAAATAAGCCGCTAATAATAATGCTTTTGTGCGGTCAGTCTGTTTAAATGCAAATTAGAAGTCATTGTAACGTTGAGAGATGCATTTAAAAATAAATTTCAATGAGTATTTTTTTTAATGGGAGAAATATTGTCACTTTGTTTACGTAAATATGGCAAGATATTGTCAAAAAAACACTTTTTGTTCAATTTTTATTTTATTTTTAAAAAAATTAGATTTCGCGACATTAAAAAAAATGATTGCTTAAAAAAAAAGTAATTTTTATATTAAAAAAAAAAATGATTTATTTTTAAATTATGTAATTTTGATGTAGTCAACAAACTGAGACAATGTAGCAAAGATAGCATGTCATTTTAGATTAACGAGAATATTGTACATGTGGAATATATGTGTGCATCAGCGGAGAAATTCCATGCAACTGTCGTATTATTATACTTTTAGACACAATTTAAGCATTGCGTGGAAAATTATTTTAATTACCTTTTACGAACGGATGGCACTTGTAGTTATCTACTTATAAATATTGTGTTCAATTTGTCGTGCGCAAAAAAAAAACATTTTTTTTCTTCTTTGCCATTAGATATTAACTTTAAGTTCTCTAAAAGATGTCCTTTTTGTTTCAAACTTTGAGAATAGAAAAATTTTTAAAAATAGAGAAGATATTAAATCCTAAGTTCAACTTGGACTGAAATTAACAAATTGGATTCAGAGGAAAATTGAAAAAAAAAGATATACCTGTTCTTTTGTTTTTAATTTTCAATTGTTTACACAAATTAATAAAAATTTAGCAATTTTTAAAAACCTTTAAAGCCAATCCAACATTTATTTTTCTATCCTAACTTTTGTTTAAACTATTATTTCAATAATTGCAGCAAAAATAAGCAATTTTTTCTTTTTTTGGATTATTTATAGGTATATTTGTTTAAAACTATTGTTAACAACAATATTGGAATAATATTTTTCATTATGAATTTTTTGTCTTCGGCCATATATGTTATTGTTAAGATACTTGAATAGTTGATTTAATAATTTTTTTTCAAAAATATTCAACAAACATTGACATTGTAGGTTCATTTTTTAACTTACATTTTTAAATAAAAAATATTGCAAAATGAAATTCAAAATTCCGGCTCAATAGGGAATTTAAAAAATTCTGAAGATTTTAAAAAAAGAAATGTTAAGGGGAGACCCCACCTTCATTTTGACCCCTTTTAAATAAAATTATTAAACGAGGTAATATTTTTTTCTTGCATCATTTTCAACCTAAAAACATATAAGATGGTCAAAAATATTTAATTTTAATTTTTGAAGAGGTTAGAATTTTTTTCTTTTGGCCTATTGCATATTATTCCAAATCCATGCGAGAAGTTGTTTAGAATGGTAAAATATGCATGGAAAAAAATTTTCGTTAAAAAATATTAAAAACTGTAAGAGAAGATCAATTTTTAATATTCAAATCTTTAACTTTTGCCGAAATTTCGAAAGCCTTATATCTTTAATTTTTTTCCAAACTGTGTATACTTACGTAATTTGATGCTCTGAGTCGAAAAAACATAGTTACAAATTGACATTTAGCTCATTTTTGTGGTAAAAACCATAAAAATCATAGTCCGAAGTTTTTATGGTATACTTTATATATACTGTAATAAATGCAAAAAAGCCATGATTTTTATAGTTTTTACCTAGAAAATGAGCTAATTGTCAATTTTAACTATATGTTTTTTCGACTCAGAGCATCAAAATTGGAAAAAATTAAAGGTTCAGGACTTTCGACATTTCGGCAAAATTTAAAGATTTGAATATTAAAAATTGATCTTCTCTTACAGTTTTTAATATTTTTCAACGAAAATTTTTTTCCATACATATTTTATCATTCTAAACAACTTCTCGCATGGATTTGCAATAATATGCAATAGGTAAAAAGAAAAAAAATTCTAACCTCTTCAAAAATTAAAATTAAATATTTTTGACCATCTTATATGTTTTCAGGTTAAAAATGGTGCAAGAAAAAAAATATTACATCGTTTAATAATTTTATTTTAAAGGGGTCAAAATAAAGGTGGGGTCTCCCCTTAAATTTCATCGAAAATTGCTGCCTGTGATTATGAACACTAAATTGTAATTTTGAACCACAGTCCAACGATTTGGATTATTTTTAAAATTACCATTGACCTCGACTTCGATAATTCAATTCTTACTGTTTTGATGTCCTTTAGTGAAAAGTCCCAGCATAAAGTCTATCAAAAATATTTGAGATTGTTGGTAGTGGATATTCATCGGAAAGGATTATTATTGTCAGTGAACTCGAATTTGATGATTCTATTCTTACTGATTCGATGTCCTTTAGTGAAAAGCTCTAAATTGAGCTTCTTGATAGCGTCTATCTATCGACAGTGATTATATTTGTTTTTTTATTAATATTATTATATTATTACAAAAATTGTTAGAAAGTAGATAAATTTTAATTAAAGAGAAACTTTGCCATTCAAATTTGTTGATTATTTGAATTCCTCGATTGTATTAAACAGGAAATAACTGTTGAGCTTCAAAATTGTAATGAATTTGAGGATGTAAAAATAATGGTGAATATTTAAATTTAGCCTTTAGCTATATACTGGAATGTGGTGAAAATAAAATAAACTATACTGCAATGGTTTAGCCTTTGGAATGTCAGTGTTTGTAGATATAATCTTTTATTTCTGAGACACTTTAACTGCTTTTAATTGATACAGACATACGGCGTTTAAAAGCAGAAGGGGTCTCTCTCTCTCTCTTTTTCTCGATCATCAACTCTATTAGCGATACGTTATTTCTTAAATTACAATTTTTATTCTTTTTTCTTTTAATTCTCATATCGTACACTTCCTCATACGCTGTTATATTCATTGGATAAAAGCCAACGAGAGTCCCTTTTTTGTCTCCCAATTTGTAATTAATTTCTTTATTTTTAGAAATTTTCACCATGTCTTTGTCTATGAGGAGAAAGAAGATTTATGTGATTCAGTTGTTTTTTTTTATTTATAATCACCGTATTTTGTTTTATTATAAGTTTATAATTTATATAAATTTTATTTATAAGTATTTTTAAAAATTGGAAAATAAATTTCTCTTTTTTGTTATCAGGAACTCGTCATGGGTTGGTAACGACACCAAAGGAAGAAACAACAGTTGAAGATGATGTTGTGATAATTTCTAGTCGGGAGAGTGAAGCGGCAACATTATGGGTCAATTATCTCACGGGAAGTTTTGAACAAATTAGCAGGCAACAAGGACGACCACCTTTCAGGTGAAATAAATTTTTGAACAAATAAACAAATGTTCGAAAAAATGTTGTTGAAAAATTATTAATTTAAAATATCTTTCCTTTAGAGTGCGGCATGTGACAGTGGAGGATTCATTGTCAGCAAGCACAGAGGATAGGTTGAAATCTTCACGTTTGCAAATTGTCGTCATTTGTCCGTTTCTTTTGAAACGTATTTTAACGCGACCCGAACAGGCAATGAATCTTTCCAGGCATCTGATGCCGGATAAAGTTTTGGCAATGATGCTTGGTGTACAGGAGGATCATCTCACATCTTGTCACAAGTCGGCTTTAATTTCATTTCAAAATTGGAAAAAATTCCCCGTCAAGGATCAAGATGAGGATTTTGTTTGTCAATTTTTTGGTGCTGTTTTTGCCATTCTAGGCACTGCTCCACCGACAACATTAAAGAATGACAAAATTGCCTTTACGATTCATCCGAAGAAAGTGAAACTGGTTAGGGGAAAAAACTATATAAATATTTTAATTGATTCGAAGTTTTTTTATTTCTAAATTAAAAAATTTCATCTTTCAGGGTCATAGTAAAGTGATCGCCCTTTTGAACGATCCATTGAGAGTGGAAGATAATGTTACAATAATTGTCGATCGCTGTGGTGATGCGATTGAAGTGGGAAACGTAAAGAGGCGAAATCCTTATTCACTGCAATTTTCTATTCCAGAAAAGTGTTTAGAAAAATCGATGCTAGTTGGAGTAAAAATCTTGAAAAATGGTAGTCCTCTAGGAATTCGTCAAATCAAGTGCGAAAGTCGATTGAGAGAATTGGATCAAATATTAAGAGCACACGATAATCCTTTAGAGTTCATGTGTCAGGTATTTTTTATTTCATCATTTTCGCAATACATAATTTAAGATCCACCAGAAAATAAAAGATTACAAATTTCTTTTGTTTAGACAATAGGTTTCAGTCCGGGAGATCGGGAACAATTGGATAACTGGATGGTCCATGCCTTTCGGAGGAATTTACCGCCACAATTTAATCTTCTCTCAACTCCCAGTGGAACGATTCCAGCTGCCAAGAATTATACAAGTAATTTCTTTTTTTTAAACAAAATAATAACGAAGTGTTCGAGAGAATATTTATTAATTTTCTTATTACCAGGTCCGGATGAGTATCCAACCTTGTTGCATTTTGCGGCACGATTTGGTCTCGAGAAATTGGCATTCCAACTTTTGGAGAGTCCTGGTGGAGAACAGGCATCGGACATTAAAAATGTTTCGGAATTAAGTCCAGCGGATTTAGCTGAACAAGCGGGTCACACTCGATTGGCTCATCAACTTCGCAGCTACATGGTACACTAAGCATCGCCTTTAAAAACGTGGCTTTAAACAACCAAGTGATTCTGTCAATACACTTCGGTGATTTTTCAACAAATATTTCCTCAAAAGAATCCTTTTACATTCTATCATTAAAAAAAATCTAAACTTAATTCTTGTTTTCAAATTACATCATCAATAACGAAAATAAAAAAATATTCTCCCAGACAGAAACTCCTTGTTTTGCAATTATTAGACATTTTTGTAATTAATTAATATCGAATTTCATACTTGAATGCTTATTTTCAATTTCTTTTCAGCAAATGAATGAGTTCACCAACATTTATAGTTATCTGAAAATCATGAGCGAAACACCAGTCGAAGAAACAGGTGAGGGGCGAAAGCAATATTTGCATAGAAAATCTCATTGAAATCAAATCTCATTGAAACAAAATTACAATTTTTCAAATAAGTAGTTTTCTAAAGCAATAAAATTTTACTTTCCTAGGAAATGAAAGTGTATCGCCTTTTTTGCGAAACGGTGATAAAGAGGATTATTGTCGTCCGCGACCAATTAGCGAGGCTTATTCAGTTCCGCCTACTGCAAGACCAATTACTACATCATCGACAAGTTTCACAACACCTCCTGAATTACCACCGCCAAATCCCACAATTAATTCCCCAATTGAAGGAAATTATTCTATAGCACCATCACCAATTCCGATTACAGTACCATCAACTCCAACCTCGACACATCATTTTAATGAATTGGATCAAACATTTGCTGGATATTTACAAATGCATCCAGCTGGTAAATTTTATTTCACTTTAGTAATTAAATTTTAAACCAGTTGTGTGATTGAATTTAAAAACAATTGGGTATTTTTACATAATCAAGGTTCGAGGACACCAATGTTGTCCAGTACACCGTCATCGTCCCGCTTAACTTTACAATCGTCACGTCAAGATTGTTCGTCGGCGGGAATTCGTGAAGAATTTCATTACGATAAATCGCCATCTAGCTCGAATTCAAGAGAAAATTCGGGACCACAAGATGAATTATTGGAGATTTTAAATGATTTCAAAAATAATGTCTTCACGATATCGGAACTCGAGAGACTTGTTGATAATTGGAAGAATCGAAATGACGTTCAACAGAGTTTCAAGGATAAACAACGACAATTGACTGCAATGAGAGAGGAGTACGAGAGAATTCAAAAGAAAATAAAGGATGATATGAAAGCACCAACACCTTTTGATAGAATTCGGAAATTATTTTCGAAAGGAAAGAAAGGTTTGTGGTTTTTATTTTTTTTTGATTACCCTATTTCAAAGGCACCAGAATCACAGCAGCTATGCTGCTGCTGCTGCACTTAAAGAGGCTAGATGCACTTCCTTTCTACTTCCTCCTCCATTTTCCACTATGGTGTGTGGAACGTTTAAAGTGTTGTAGCCTTCCTCTATTAGGATGCAGGAAGGCCATTGGCTGTCACCCTTAAGCCAGACTCTTAAATTACAACAGTTACTTCTTACACGCCTCAATCTAAACTGTAAAAGTAGATGTGCGTTTCCGAGGAGGGATTTTAATTATGGTAGGAATTCCACGACGGTAAACCGTTGACACATTGATTTCTATATCTAATAGACGTGATTCTATTCTTCCCTCACTCTTTGAATCTCCTCCCTCTGCATTAAGGCAAATATCTGCATTAGGGGTCATTTTGACATAAGCGAATTTACTTTTTAAGGGTGAGTTAGTTGAAGGAGATAATGACCGCATCTTGAGAAGCATCTTCAGAATAGGTAGAATGTCGCTTTGACGCCTAGGGTTACCATTATAAAGTTACCCTTTATATTTAGATTTATACACTTTTTATTGATCAGCGATTCATTTTACAGATTCCTCGAAAGACACTTCTCACGCTAATGATGATTCATCATCGACCAGTAAAATTGAAAACATCAATGGAACGCTAGCTGAACGAAGACCGGTCAGCAGTTTAAGTCTTCATAGCGTTTCAAGTGAGTTTTCTTCGCTTTTATTCAAATAATAAAATTCTAGGTATGATAGATGATCATTAATTTTAAAATCCTATTTGCAGGTTCCTCGTCTTCTGGGCGAATGAGTACAGTTAGTGGCTGCAGTGGAACAAGTCTTGGAGATAGTGGCACTCATTCTGACACTGAAGACAGAAGGGTAAATTACATCATTTCATTTTTAAAAGTTTCCAACTTTTGATTTATACTAATAGGCTTTACATTCTTCTTGATTCTAATTGAGAAAATACAAGTGTGAATTCAAGAGTGAAATTAAAAAGAAACTTTAATTACAGATACAAAATACGAGGGAGGATAAATCAGGCATGATGTCTTATGAAATTCCACCTGCACCAAAACCATTTACTGGAAGGTACTCTCCTGCACGTTATACACCATCGCCTCGTGCTCCAATTAACAATGAAGTCGAATTTCGAAATCCTCAAAATAGCGAACATTACATCGCTTTTCCACCATCTGGTCTACCAGTTCACTGTAAGTATATAAAACTAAGGATCAATTTCACCAATACCAATTAAAAGTTAAATGATATCCTCAATCAACCAATCATGAATCGTTAAATTGGCTTCAGTCATCGACTAACTTTTAATTGAGCTTGGTGGAATTAGCCCTAAAAATACTTGCTCTTCCTGAAGAAGCAAATTTGAAACACTGAAATTTTTCCAGCTTTCAAAGCAGACGGATCATTAAGGGATCTAAAAATGTCAAGTTCCCCAATTGAAGACTCAGATTATCTCGATCTAGATGAACCCAAAAAATCGCACAGTTACGCAAATTTGAATCCATCCGCAATATCAGTCCCACTTCCTCCTCCTCCACCACCACCAGGAATGTGTATTCCCTTCGAGTACATGAACATTACACCATCGACTCCAAAAACGCCTTTGGAAAATAAAATCGACACAAAGCACACAATAACTCCAATTGATCATGAAGTATGTACAAAAAATATTGAAACCATAAACGAAAACAATTTCATCACCAAAGATTTTGACAAAATTGAAAATAAAGAAACTGATTTACAAACACAAAAAATTGAAGAGTCGCTAAATATGGAAAAAGAATTGAAGACCACTATCGATATTGAACTCAAAGAAAGTGCAAAAAATCTGCAAGAGAATATGGAAGGGAAATTAGAGGAGATTTCCATAGATGTTGTCGATGGAGTATCAAATGCGGATGCTCATGATTACATGAACATTCAACCGGGAAATGAAGGTGTTCAAGTTGTAGGAGTGGTACAGAAAAAAATCGCACCACCTGTTCCTCCACGATGTAAGCATTAAAACAATTTCTTTTCTAAACATTAAAGGACAGTTTTACCAACTCCAATTAAAACTTAATCAATGACTAACGTCAGTTTAACCGCTCATTATTCGGTTAAGGATTTAATCATTGATTAACTTTTAATCGGTGTTGGTGAAACCGGCCCTACATATTAATAAAAATTATAGAAATAAAAATTAATTTTCATTTCAGTTACTCCAATGAGAAAATAAGCAAAATGGAACTACAATTTCGAATTGTTATCTCCTACAGCAGTTATGTAAATAATAAAAATATAAAGTTCAATTGTATTAGGCAGATATTAAGTTAATTTTAATATGAATGCGCTTCGTATTTGTGCATCTAATAAAAAGAAATCTTTAATTCTGCTAAACGACTTTAATACAGACACTATTTTCAGAAATCGAATATATTTTAACTATTAATAATTACCCAAATGGGACAGAATATTGCAGCAGTATTATGACAATCAAGAAGTAATATAAGGATGAGTCGAATTTCTGTATCGAAAAGATGTGCCTAATTCTCTTCTGCTTGCAAGAAATTAGGCACATCTTTTGGGATCTCTTGTACTGCGAGACGCTCTCTGTTGAAAATTTTTGTAACCATTGAGATTAGATCGTTTTGTCTAATTCTAATTTTTGATCAGCTTCCACCAATCAGTGTAGCTTTTTAACGGGGTGTCGAAAAATGGTACTACAGTGACGAGTCCCGTCTTATTGAGGAACCGTTTTAGTTCCTAATCTCAGCACAGTGAAGAAGGCGTCGAATGGCATTAGTAATGTGTGCCTTTTTCTAAAAATGTGTTCAAAACCTAGTATCTCTTGAAGAAATTAACGAAATTGAATGGTTCTTGGACGACAATAAAGCTTAATAAATGCAGAATACAGGAAAATTATACAAAAACGAGGTTAACAAATTTTAAGGTTAATAATCAGCGTCAAAAGTCAGAAATTTCATCAAAAATATCACAAATTTTAGTCTGTAAACCAGAAAAATGGCTTAAATTAGGTAATATTACTTATTTTGAAGTTTTTTGGGTCGCTATAATTACGAATCTGAAGTCCGATTTTAATCATTTAATATGGCGGATCCTGTATGACAGCTGAGACGCATGATTATTTCCCAAATGTCATTTGACCGAATTGCATTTATCCGAACTGTTATTTTGACGAAATGTCACTTTTGCGAATCGCCATTTTTACGAATTGCCTCTTTTGCGAAATACCATTTTTACAAATTGTTATTGTTCCGAAATGTCATTTTTTCGAATTCTCATTTTTACGAAATGTCACTTTTGTGAATCACCATTTTTACGAATTGTATCTTTTACGAAAAGTCATTTTTACGAAATGTTACTGTTGCGAATTGTCATTTTTGCCAAAATTGCTATAGTAAACTTGTATGCATATATAGATTTACTATAGCAATTTTCGTAAAAATGACAATTCGCAACAGTGACAATTGTCAACAGTGAAAAAATGTCAGTTTGCATAAATGACAATTCGCAAAAATGGCAATTCGCGCAAAAATGACATTTAGGAACAATAACTATTCGTAAAAAATGACAATTCGTAAAAATGATATTTCGCAAAAATGACTTTTCGCAAAAGTGACAATTCGTAAAAATGTCGATTCACAAAAGTGACATTTTGTAAAAATGACAATTCGAAAGACTGATATTTTGGAACAATAAACGATTCTTAAAAATGACAATTCGTAAAAATGATATTTCGCAAAAGTGGAAATTCGTAAAAATAACGATTCGCAAAAGTGACATTTCGTCAAAATAACAGTTTGGATAAATGGAATTCGGTAAAATGACAGTTCGGGAATAATCATGCGCCTCGAATCTGATGTCAGATTTTCAAAATTCAAAATGGCCGACCCAATAACGTTTTGCATTTTCGGTCGGCCATATTAGTTACTAGCATCACTTTTAGCATCGAGACTAATTAATTTTTTTCAAATAAGTATTTAATAAATTTCCAGTCGATTTTCTATTATATTTTTATATCTAATTTGTAGTTCACAAAAAATATGTATGACGACATCCCTGAAGAAGCAATTAGCAGGCGTAGCATTCGTCATTCTTAAGTCAGAGAAAAATGAAAATTTCAGAAAGTTCGTCGCAGTATAAAAACAGTTATGGGACAATACTCCGGCAATATAAAGACAGTATTATGGCAAAATAGTGGCAATACAACAATAGCAATATGGCAATATACAGCCAGTAATGTGGCAATATTGCAATAATATTAAGGACAGTATTGTGGCAATACATTCAATCTTATGGCAATATGTTGTAAATATAGTTGCATTATTCTGCGTCATTTGGGTACTATTTAGAATATTAATTCAAAAGAATGTAAAATATATCTTGCATGCATTAGCCATATAATTATAGAAATGTAGGACGCATGTCGGTCGAAGCGTCAAGTCGATAGAAAGAGACAGCAAGTGTACTTATCGTCCCCTCTTCTTTCTCTCTCTAGAGACGCATGCGCATGACTCTTTTTATCGACCTGATTCGGCCTCCTCTATTCTTATACCTCTATGGCATTAACTTTTAGAAACTTTCCTTTAAATAACAATATTTATACGCTCTCCCCCACCTCTCAGTCATAATTATATGGAAAAAATCTTTTTTATATTTATTTACATATTACACATTAATTAAGAATTTTTTGTCGATAGTATTACATTTATGGTTTTTTACACTTTGTGCCATATTTAGTCTATTTATTTAAAATACGATCATTTATTTTAAAAAAATCTTATTATAATTTTAAAAAAATTTATAATTTTTTTACAATTAAAATAAATTGATTATAAGATTTTGCTAAAAATTTACTTTGTATATTCGTCATTTATTTACTTATTTTTGTTTATATTAAATTTTTATCTTATTTCACAATTTTTTTTTAATATTTGCCGCAGTATTAATTAAAATTAGTTTTCGATGAAAATTCAACAATTATAATAAATGATCGTTTTTTGATATAAAATTAAATTTCGAACGAAAATTCGAAATATATACAAAGCTAGCGAGCACCAAATCAAACTCTTTTTTTCCTAACTAATTCGGCAATTTTGCCGATAGATAATGTATATTTTTTTTTTAATTAATTTACTTCTATTAATTTCTATATAAATTCTATATAAATATATTTTAATTAAAATTATTTGATAATTTTTGTATTTAAACTATTTGATATTATTTTACAATATAAAAAAAAATAATTTTTGTTTAATAAAAAAAGGAATTAAGACTGTAAAAAAGTGAATAGAAATTATTTTATCTCCTTTATTTCTTCGCGCGCGGAATTTCCGAACTGTTTTTACGTCAAACACAGAGTAGCCTTCAATCATACGTAACAATTATTGTATCTATTAAAATGAATAAAAATGTTAATATGTTTTCGTAATATTATATAGAGTCGTCATTAATTTTTCGCTTTAGACCTAAATTTTTACTTTATGTATTATTTCGCATGTATTTTTTTTTATGTATTTTGTATTAGAAATATTTTACACAATATACATTATAATTTATAATTTTTTCGTCTGTAGTTATTTTTGTAATTAATATTTTTCTTGCGTATTAAGTAATTTTATTTAATTTCTTCTATAGCGTTATGTATTATACTATTGATTTATTTGAATGTCTAAAATTAATTTTTAAAACTATCTTCGTTGTATCTGATTACATAAATAATTAGTGTTAGAAATTATTTGAATTGATGTACCGATGTGCATTTACTACCGCTTAATATATTATTTTTATTTAAAATTTTCATTTTATAGAATATTTTACATTTATTTTATACAAATATAGAAATTATAATTATGTTATTTATATTTATCAATTGCATAATAAACGCTGTACTTTTTGAACTTGTGGTGTCTTTTTTAAATATACCAAAAATTTCAATATAAAATATAAAGTTTTGTAATTTTTTCACCTCAAAAAGAAAAGATATTTACGAAATTGAAAAAGCACTAAAAAAAACATTCGAAGAAAAATTTTTTTATGTCTAAAATCAATTGTTATTATAAATGTTTAGTAAATGAAATTTAAGAATAAACATTAAAAGATTCCTAACATTTGTGACTAATTTTATTTTCCTTAATGAAATCCTCTTTCTCTAGTAAATAAGTTATTAGCATTTTTTAAAATTCAAACAAATTATTTTGTCTTTTTAATTTCATATACATTAATTATCTAATTTTTTACTACTAATTAATTTATATAATTATAAAATAAAGGCTATTAAAGATCAATTTTATTAAATATTAATTTATCTATTAACTTATTTAATTAGATTTAAATTAGTTACAATTTTTCGTTTTGAAAATTTACGCGAGAAACAAAAAAAAAAAATATTCAAAACAAATGAAGTGGAAAAAAATAAATAAACGAAATATTTTTCTTTTATCGCGAAAATTTCTTTCAAGGCAAAGGAAGGAAGTCGTCATTCCAGAAACAACTTCCTTCCGACGCCAACGCAATTTATAATATTAAACAAATTAATTAATACTCACTCATTAATTTGAATAATTTTTTCATAAACACTTTAGAAACTGTTTTTCTTCTTTTAATTGAAAGACAAAAAAAATTTCGAAAAATTTGAATTATAATGTTGAAATTTAACTTTTTTTTTCGTCAATTTCTTATAGTTTGTCAATAAATTTATTCTTGAAGGATGTCCATCATGAATTAATTTAGTTACTCTATAAATTGATCGACACGAGGACTTTTTTGCACGAGGGAGGGGGACACATAAATAGAAGTGAATGTTTCTGGCCTCATGCAAAAAGCATTTGTCATTTGTCCAGTAGTGTTGTTATTTGTTGTTCTATGACGTATTTAGTTTTTTCGAATGTGAGTATTTTTATTTTTTTATTTTTAATTTTCTTCATTTATATTTTAATTTAAACATAAAATTAAAAAATTGTTCAAAAAAATTCAAATAGTCGACATTTTTTCTTAACTTCTTTTTTTCTTATTTAAAATTTATTTTTTTAATAAACAACCAATTTTAATATGATTTATTTTATTAATTATTAATTAATTTATAAATCATAAATAAATTTATTTACTATTGTTATTAATATTGTCTAATTTTATAAATAATAATTATTCATTATTATATTAATATTTAATATATTATTATATATTATTATAATGACCAAATAATATGATAATTACAATAATTATAAATTAATTTTTTATCATAATAACAATAGAAGTCGAGTTGTTATTATTATTATACAATAAATTAATATAATAAGGATGATACTTAATATTAAAAATTAAAAATATATTTAAATATTTTAAATAAAAACTATAATATTGAAAACATAAATTTTTAAATTTAATAACATATTGTATCTAATTTATATTAAGTAATACTTTTAAAAAAATTTATAATTCTTTAGAGTCGTAAAAAATTGAAATTAAAAAAATTAAATTCCTCAATTGTATAATGTATTTGTAATATACCTATATTATTGGACATTGTATTTTTAATTTTTATAGTTAAAAATTTCTATAATTATTTTGAAATTGTAGCTTTGCAAAAATTAATTCTAATTTATTGATACTCAGAATTAATTCTAATTATTAAATAATCTAATATTAGATTAAAGGGATATAAATAAAAATTAAATTGGGAATTTCCAATCATCAACTTTTTAAGAAAAGATTCTTTTTCCTCTTTCGAAATATTCACAGTAAAATGAATTACATATTCATGAAGCACTAAATTCACATCCAATGGCTTAACCATTTTGAATAAGTATATCTTAATTCTTGACGTGAGATCTTCTTTCAAAGAATTTCAGGTTGCACATTTGATCATAAAAAATTTATCCGAGAAACATCAATGACGTCATTGGTATTATTTTTAATATTGACGGTAATTATAACCGTGAGTTATGCACAAATGTATGGGAGCTATAATCCTCGACCGAAACTTGGATCCTGTGCACCACCATTGGCAGTGGATGTGTGCTCAAGAAGTTGTTATTGGGACAATCAATGTTTAGGAATTGAAAAATGTTGTCCTACAAGTTGTGGTGGATCCGTTTGTTCCAGACCGGTGACAACGAGAAATCCGGCAACAATAGGTATATATTTAATTTAAAAGTAGTTTTTTGTTAAAACATATTTTATTTTTTCATTTTTGATTATCGTAATTTTAGACTTCGCACTCGATAATTAATTTTAAAAAAGTAGCAAAAAGTAGCTTTCAAATTGAAAAAAGTAGTAAAAAAGAAGCTATCGAAAAATTATACTTGACGACCGAAAAAACTCGTTTTAGACACTTTTCAAAACTGACAAAAATTCCATTGTATATTTTATTTTCTGACTTTTTCCTAATTTTTATCAAAAATATTTACTTCTTTCTTATCCTGCCAATAAATTGAATTCCTGCAACGAATTCTATTATTCATGAAAGGATTTAAATATTTATAAAAATAATTTAATTCCTGCAAAGAATTTTATAAAATTTTTTAAATAATTGATTTATTTCGACTAATTTTATGCAAATTCTACTTTAAATAATTGAATTCCTGAGAAATTTTTATTATTTATGAAAAGAATTGAATTCTTACGAAGATTTTTACAAAAAATTTTTTAAATAATTGAATTCTTTAAGGAATTTTTATTAAATAATTAATAGATATTAAAAATAATTGAATTGAGGAAAGTTTTTGAAAATAATTAAACATTTTGTCAAGAATTTTATTGATAAATTTTTGAAAATAATTGAATTTTGCAAAGAATTTTATTAAAATACCTCAAAATAATTGAATTTTCGGGAATAATTTTGTTATTCATCGATACAATTGAATTCTTGGAAAGAAATTTATTAGAATTTTTTAAAATAATTGAATTTCCAAAACAAAATTTATTATTTTTAAAAATAATTGAATTCCTGTGAAAAATTCTAATATTTTGTATTTGAATTGAATTGAAAAAATAATTGAATTCTTCCAAAGAATTTTTAAATAATTGATTTTTTCGAGGAATCGAAATTAAATTTTTAAGAATGAATACATTTCTTGATCAATTCCTGTAAAATTGTATTGAAAATGATATTGTAATCCTGCGATGAATTTTATTATTTTTAAAAATAATTGAAAAATTTTATGAAAATGTATAAAAAGAATTGAATTTCTGAGAAGAATTTTATAATTGATGAAAATAATTGAATTATTGCGAATAATGTTATTAAAATGTTTTAAAAGAATTGAATTTCAGTGAAAAATTTTGTTATTTTTGAAAATAATTGAATTTTTCGATTAATTAATTTAAAATATCATTAAAAATAATTGAAATTCTTCGATGAGTTTTATTATTTATAAAAATAATTGAATTTTGCAAAGAATTTTATCAAAAATTTTTAAAAAATTGAATTTCCATGAAAAATGTTATTATTAGTGAAAGTAATTGAATTATTGTGAAGAATTGTATAAAAATTCTGTTAAATAATTGATTTTTTCGAAATTTTTTTGAAAATTTTATTTGATTATAATTTTTACAGTGCAAAGCCTGTAATTTCATTATTCTCGCAGAAATTATGAATTCTTCGGTTACTTATTATATTAAATTGAAGATGTATTCTCCTTTTCATTAGCCAATTTTAACTCGAAATTGCGTTTTCTATTGTCGGGGATAATTAAACTAAATGCCAATTAAAAAAAAGCGCAATTGCGAATTAAGTTGAAATGATCTAATTGCGAGTCTTATTTAATTCTAAATAGTATTAGGTGTGAAGAAACAAATTCTTTACGAATTTCAAAATAATTAGATTAATAAGCTGATTATGGAAAGTGTATACAAAAGTTAAAGACTTTTATTTTTTACACATAATAATAATATAATAATTAAACAGAAAAAAATGTTTTATTTTCAGGAACAATAAAAGCAGGGGTTTGTCCACAAACATCAAACGAACGTTGGATCTGCTCATCGACCTGCATTGATGACAGTGATTGTCCAGAGAAAAAGAAATGTTGTAAAACTCGTTGCGGTGGTAATATATGTAAAAAACCACATATAACAGAAGGAGAAGAAGTAGAAAAAGACACTGTTAATAATGATATTGATATATATTCAAATAGTATATCATTTGATAATGGCAACAATAATAACAATAATAATTTTGACGTTGCATTCCGGGCGAATCGAAATAATCCATTTTTATTTCGACGATCTCGTTAAACATAATTTATTACCCCCATAATGTAAATTAAATTTCAAATTCTCTAGTTTTCATTCCGTCATTAAAACTTTGATAACTTTAGTCAAAAATAATTTTTATAGTACTTATTCATTATCTTATACGTATACCGTGTTGAAAAAAAATAATTATACAAACATTTTTAAATTGAATTTTCCCGGACTATGCTAGTGTTGTCATGAATTTTTATAATGATGTTAATTTATACGTTTATAAATTATGCCTTTCACTTAAAGAATGCTCATTAAATATTTATAATTGTTAAGCGACCATATGTGATTAATTAGTGTAAATCTCTTTCTCTACGTATGACACTATTTATTTTTATTTAATTTATTAACTCTATATTTGAGACTGAGATGTTATGTTATTTTTAGTTAATAAAATTAGTTCCGTCAACAGTTTTTAAAAATGTTTCTTTATTATTCCACTTTATGTCAAAAACCTTTCCTATGTACTTAAACCCTTTAACGCTCAAATATGCAAAATGTTGGCATGAAGTTTGACGACTTATTTCGGTAGTTAAAAATCAATAGAAAAATTCATTAATCATCATTTCTTATGTTTTCATATGCGTTCTATCGAATGGCGTTATAAAAAAAATCAAAAAGTTATTAATGTATTTTTTTTAAAAAAGTCTGATATTTTTCAAATTTTTGTTTAATTTTCAATTTTTTCTACTACGAAATAGCAGAAAAATAATTCCAAATGTTACAAATAACGTGACAAAAATACATAAGCTACAAGATAGGACTGTAGAGAAAATTAAAAATTAAAATGGCGGCTCAAAAATGGAGTTTGAAGTTCAAATTTTTTTGCAAAATTTCACTCGAAAGTACGAAATTGTTAAAAATGTTTAGATTAGCTTGAAATCTTTACACGGGAGTATTAGAGGTCGCTGATGATGAATATGAAGTTCAATTTTTAAAATTCAAAATGGCGGATCCAATATGGCGGACAATCTTTCTAAAAACTTATTAGATTCGCTTGAAACTTATTATTCGGAGGTTTTTGGGGTCGCTGATTATAAATCTAAAGTCCAACGGTCGTCAAACGAATTATAAATCCTATTTTTATTGTTCTAATGCGTTTTATTCATATTAATTAAATGTTTAGTTTACAATTAATTTTGTTTGTGTTTTTTGTTCCATACATTAATAGGAATTCTTCTTCAAAGAAAATATTTGCGCTGTGATTAAACAATCCACGACTTGGTAAGTTTGTTCAATTCTTTCTTTTCTCATCTCTTCACTGTAAAAAGGTTACTAATTAAGTACCAATTTTTGTACTAAATCGTAACTTTGTTTTATTTTAAAACCGAAATCATCTCTAATTTAGAACCTTTTTTTTACAGTGTTGGTTTCGTCTTAGAACTAATTTCCGACTGCTCATAGGATTGAACTCCAGGTTAAACGTGAGCGTGAGCAGAACCCCTATCCTTTCTTATAAATTCAAAAATTTTAAAGTCTCGCGAAGTTCGCTACAAACGAAAGGCGTAAAAATTACGCGGTAATAGTTAAATATGCAGATTTTTCCAACTTCAAGTAGCCAAAACAAAATATGCCTAATAAATGGAGAAGCACATCAGATAACAGATTTGCGTCATAAAAATTTTACTTTATACGCTCTTCTAATCAATTTCACAATCACAATTGTACAAACATTATCTATTTTTCTATTAAAATAATACTACCTTACGAACTTCAAAACAATTATAATTTTAATAAGGAAATGTACACTCACAGTTGTACAAACATTTTCCATTTTTCTTGATAAATAATTCTACATTACGAACTTTAGAACGATCTAAACTTAGACTAATAATTTTGACTAGAAAATATACAATTACAATTGTATAAACAACATATACTACATATGAATTCGATTTTATTCAAATTATTATATTTAGTTATTGTAAATATTCTGAATCCTTTTCATTTTCCTGTCGAATTTAATTTGTATTATAATAAATAAATAAAATGCGTCAAAAAATTGCGAACGGTGGGAGATTTTTGTCACTATATAATTCTATTCGAAACTATTCTTTGATGTCAAGACATTTTCATAAATATAATACATGAATTATGAAATTAAAATCTTAAAACGTTAAACTACATTCAATTTAAAGCAGAAGCATAATGGGATTAAAATCCTACCTTGTGGTAGTTTTGTTACTACAAACCTGCTATGGCGAATCAACAGAGGTAAGCAACATAAAGTTAACTTAATCCAGTATTAAAATGATTCAATAAAAACAATCTTATTATTTTTTTAAGGCAACAAATTCATCTAGTCAAGAAACTGATAAATGTGGAACGTCAGAATTAGATGATTTTTACCTAGTACAAACTTTCTTTAAGCCAAAATATGATGACATCGTATTAGTATTGGGTTCAGAATCATATGCTTCACTCTCCATACTAAAATGGGTAACAGGGAATAAAATTAATTTGGCTCCAAAAGAATTGAAACATTTGGAAAATTACTTCGAAGCATATGTTGCATCCAAAACAAACACATTGTACTATAATTTATGCTCTGATCGTAATGAATTGATGACCCGATATTTGGCAAAAATGTTAATAGATCACGCCAAGAATGTAAAATTCATTCTTCTTTTTGTGGAATTACCAGGACCATATAATCCTAATAATTATATTACAGAACTAAATTGGAAAAATATTATTGAATATGCTTCACGTTTAATTCCTAATGTTGATAAATTTATAGATAATATTGAAGCCGAAGTAGTTAAAGATTTCAATCTTCATGAACAAGTCCATTATATTGATGCTCAATATTTGAAGCCAATTGATATGAAATTTCTTGACAAAATGACGGATATTAGTTCCAATGCCGTTAAGATAATTTCAAGAATAAAATCAAAGGCACATTATGCTTATAGTGTTATGTATGGAAGTGAATTTAACGATCATTTAAAGGATTATATCAACTATAATAACGAAACAATGGATAATGATTTTAATTACATGGCCGACAATAATTGTAGAAATTCAACTAATTCTATAGCTCAAATTATAAACAATAAACTCGATAAAGTTCAATTTGAAAAAGTTCAACAAGATTTGTCAAATCAGATATTAAATCATTTTAAGAAAATGGAAGATAACAGTAGTTCAAAATTAACAGACATCTTCTATTTTTACGAACAAATGGAAAATGTTGTGAATATTTTGCCAGATGTTTACAAAAACTATTCTACAGAGCACGCAAATATGGCAATTTATTCTAAAAACTATCACAGAAGTATTATGAAAATTGTAAAAGATTACAATATTCAGTTATCGGAAAATATTCAATTGGATTTAGTGCGAAATTTACAAATTCTTAATTTTTTGGAAGAGGATTTATACATTGATAATAACTTTTTCTCAACGTTAAAGGAATTTTTTGTTAAAAACAAAATGTGGTATTCATATTTACTTGGATATTATAATAAATCAATAGTGAGTATCAAACAAAATAATAATTTAACTAAAGAATTTGAATTTCACGCAATGAATGGTTACGATACGGAAATTAAGAGAAAAGTTATAAACACTGTGAAAATTTTAATTGAAACCGTGCATAACGAAGAACCAACTTGTGTTATTGATGAGAATAATATTTTAAAACTTACAATGTTAGGAAATGTTTTACGAACATTTGACATACCAGCAGCAATTAATAATTGTGAAAACGAACATAAATTGAAAATACAACAAATTATGTTATTTGCCATTGAAAAAGTATACATAGACAGTGATTTGATTGCAATTGGTGATGAATTACAAGTCGTTATCATTTCTCCAGTGTGGGAAATTGTTGGCAAACGAAAAATAGTTCTAAATGGAATTTCTCCAGAATCTCAGAAAGATAATAAAGCTAGAGATGGTAATCAAAATGGAAATAAAAATGGTGTACGAGGAAAAGCTGGACTACCAGGTGGACCATCGGGATCATTTTACGGAATTGGAGAATTATTTATTTCTGGTGAGAATTTACAAATTTTCGCTAATGGAGGAAATGGAGGTGATGGACAAAATGGTGGTGATGGAGCTGAAGGTAAAAAGCCAAGAAATTTTCAAGACACTGATCCTATTCCTGAAAAGTATATTCCAAACATTTTTCGCCTGCTTAAAAATGATGGCGTTGATTATCAAAGATATAATATTACTGGTCGATTTTCCTTTGGTGGAAGAGGCGGTGACGGTGGTATTGGAGGAAGAGGAAACAAAAAAGGAGATGTTCAACTAATTGGACTTAAAAATCCAACAGGAATTAATGTAATCGCTAAAATGGGATCCAACGGTCTTGATGGGATTGGCGGAAAAGGTAAAAATGGACCTAAAGGAGATGAAACAACATTGTCATTTAGAATTAATGACAACGAAATTATATATGATAAAACAATAGACCGTCAATTTTCAACCGGTGAATACAGTCCAAAATCTCCTGATGGATCTAATGGAACCAGCACCTTCAAGCAACGACCCCTTAAGGAAGCAAACATTCCTGAAGATTTTCCTTTACTAATTAATAAGTATAAGAACTTTCTTATGGCAACTTTCATCAAGGAACAAGAGTCCTTAAGAAAGGAAGAACTTATTAATATTTACAATCTAATAAGTAGTAACAAAGGAGTACAAAATACTTATAATATAATGGCATTAGCTAACGAATTACTTTTACTAGAAAAACAATATTTTTATTTTACCGTTAAGAAAGATACTATTCCATTTTATCAAATTCTAAAGGAAAGTATTTATAACTACAAAAATACATCCACAGAAATTCAACATTATCCATTCTACAAAGATATAGCTGATAATTTAGAAAAAATTGTATCAGCAAAAATTCATCACATAAATTATTTCGAAAAGGAAAATATTATTATATTAAATCTAAAAAAGCAGTTTAATCAATATACATCTGAATTGAATGACATTCAAAATTTAACACGTTTCATTAACACTGTTAATAGTTTGCGAAACTTTAAAAGTAAAATTAATTCGGAAATTCAATATGCTCAAAGTAAAATTGATAACGAAATAACTGAAGAACTTGAAAAACTTGATGATGAAGCTGATCGTAATATCGAATCATTGATTACTGAAACAATCCAATTAAAGAAGGATGCGGAAAAAAATGGTAAAGAGTTAGAAGAGAAGCAGGCGGAAATAAAAAAAATGATGATATTAAAAGGAATATATGCATTCTGGCAGCTCTGCACAAAAGTAGCGAGTTTAGCTGGACCGAAGGCTGCAATTATTGGCGGTATTGTAAGTTCATTTCAAGAGACAATTAAACCCTATATATTCGATGAAAAAGAAGAAAAACCAAAAATAGTATTTATTCCAAAAGCTGTAGAAACAAGTTTGAAGACAATAAATCTGATAAATCAAGGATATGTTGATTCTTGGGTTTCAATATTAAAAAGTCATGTAGATTATGTTGAACAAGTTAAATTGGATGCACCAAATGAAATTGAGGAATTAAATAAAATTATTAAATTATTGAAGAAAATAGAATTGGATACAGCATCGTCTCATACCTGGCAAAATCCGTTCAGAAATGAGACAAATACAATGATAAAGGAAAAAGATGAATTGATGCTTAAAAATGGATATAAAATATCAATTAGTGTATTGGATCGATTGATAATCCTCTCAAAGGCAGCATTCTACAAAGGTGAATCGTGGGCTCATTCACAAATTAATGATCAAGCTATAGTGGAAGTAGATGCTGCTTTAACAAAAACAAAAACAGATTTAACTCATTTGGATGATTATGAAAATAATATTTATGAATTTCTAATACCAGTTTTAGATTCACTTCACAATACAACAAACCTAAGGAATATTAATATTCAAAATCAAAATTTACAACATCTACAATGGAAAATTCTTTCTAATCTTGAGACAATGCAATACAATCTTGTTGAATCGGTTAAAGGCTTTCAGAATGAAAGAAATATTAACAGAATTTTCAATAAAATACAAAATACATTTAAAACAATGATCGAAATTTATAAGGATATGAAAAATAAAAATGATACAATTGACCTCGCAACTTTTATAACTAATACAGCAACATCCGTTGACTATAGTGATTCAAATTTTCTCTATGAATCATTTAATAAATTAAGAACAATTCAACCGGAAATTGAACTCTATGAACAGTACAATAAATTGATTTATGATTATCGTCAATTTGTGAAGTCATTTAAATTATTTGCTTTTCCTTGTGGAGATTTCTATTTTCAAAATTTAGATTTGGATCTTCGTAGTGCGATGGATTTAAGCAGGGCCGTTTCAATTGCTAAAAATGTAATGAATGAAATTTTTGAGAAAACATCATCACAAGGTGTTATAGCAACTAGAAAGGAGGATGATTTTTATGTAAAACCATTTTTTATTTGGAAATATAATGAATATCGAGAGGATATTATTCAATTGTTGAAGGGTGAAAAAATTAAGTTGAATTCAACAATTACAATGCATCCCAATTACGATGCTATTAAATTTCGAGAAATTAATTTACAACTTGCCTCCAAGGATCATAAAGTAAAATCTAATATCGTCGAAAGTGTGAAACCATGTGATTTTCGTTTAACTCATAGTGGAAAATCGTATTATAGATATAATGGCGAAATGTATGTTATCAATACGGGAAGTTATGAATTTTATACTAATTGGCGTAACATAATTGGAACCAGTAAAGATGAAAATGATTTTCTTTTGAGTCCATATACCGAGTGGACATTGCAAATTGTTAAGGAAGAATCATGCAATTTAGACGCATATCTTGATGTAGAATTAGATTTACAATTGGTTGGAATTGGATCCTACATTCCAATCGGCGATGTTCTGTGCCAAAGAAATATTGAAAATTATTTTCAGAAAACTAATATTCAACATTAAAAAATAATTCCTATAAAATATATTTTTAATTGTAATTATAATTTTAATTAAGATTTTAATTATAAGATGTCAAACTAAGTATTCCTTTGTAATCGAAAAAATAGGTTTTTTAAAGGTTGCTGTGTAATTCTCATTCTACGAAAACACGATATAATATACTCTCTACATTCACATCATTATCCTTATAGAAAAAACAAAGTCTGAAACCGTTTACCTCTTAAAACAAAAATTCTGCTATTATAATTATTTATTAAACGAATTTGTGCGACAAATTTAAGAATAATAAGTGGAACTTTTAATCTTAAATAGTTTTGTCTATTATTAAATAGATAAGAAAAAACTTGCAGAGATCAAGAATCTGACAAAGTAATTACATCTGCTGCTCTTAGATTAAGAGTCAACTCAAAAACTATACTCGATAGTTTAACGGTGCCAATTTTTTAAAAATGTAAAAATTAGGTTAATACTTTCACTATTTATAAAGAAGTCGATAACTAAATTAATTTTAATCTTTTATCTTTTTTAAATTTACACAACAAATTTTTAATTTAATCCCAATTGGACAATTCATTTCTTCTACTGATCACAAATAAATTTATTTTAAAGAATTAAAACTTTTAATTTAATTCCAACTGGATAATTTCATTTCTTCTACTGATCATAAATAAATTTATTTCAATTCCTCACCTGGTTTATGAAAATGTATAAACTTTATTAATACTTTCACTATATATGTAAATAAATTGCTAAAATAAATATTTTTATACATATATTTATTTTTAAGTGTGGAAAACAAGAAGAAAATAAAATTTTAAAATTATACACAAATATATAAAATTTTAGTAAAAAAATTTATACTGTTATATTATTTTTTATTGTAAATTATTAATTTACTTATTAACATAAGCTTTAAATAAAATGAAATATGAAAATTTATTATTAATATTTTAATATTTTAAAAAATTTATTATAAAATTATTGTTAAAAATGAAAGCACGGAAATCCCCGGTAGAATGAATATGGAAATTTTATGAAAGGTGGGGTTTATCAGAGTCATAAAACTCTTCCGCTAACGACTCTTCTTGGTACTGAAACTCAGTGCTTAGATTTTGCTTGTCCCTATATCAACTAACTTTCTTAGTTGTCGTAAGTAAGTAAATAAGTATAAATAACATTAAAAGTACTTAATATTTGCTACTTAATAGTATTTATTATATAACAGAAATTTTACCAATATTAGTTAATATGAGACAGTTCAATTTTGACACTAAAAAACTTCTTTTTTTGTTCTTGAATGATTTATCCAAAAAAATATATTCTTTGTTGAGAAAAATTGTACTGTCTTAATTATTCATGTTTTTAGTATTCATTATTAACAATAAAACCATAGAGTAACGTTTTATTTATAATTACAATTTTCCATTTTTCTGTTCTATTAAGTTACGCAGTTCCAATTTCGACGCATCGAAAACACTTTTTTAATATAGATTCATACAATTGTTCAAACATCGCTACATACGTCATGATAGGTATGTAATATTTATTTAAATAAATAACTTTAGAGATGAAAAGTACGTAATTATATTCTATAATAAAACTGGAAATTAAAAACTGTTTGTGTGTATATAAATAAATAAAAGGAATATATATTTTTAGCAGAAAAGTGTAATTAAGATGAGAATATGTAGTTTTCTAACAGAAAAACACATTTGATTTGTTTGTTGAATAATTTACTGAGAAAATTAAAGTTTAGAGGATTACTAATAAGTACCTGTAGAATATAAAAAGTTTCATGCAATGCTATTTAATAGCTACACTAATGATTTTAATAATTTTATAAAAACAATTATTCACTTTATTAATATTCAATATCAATTAGATTTTAATTTAATAGAGTACTTGTGTATCGCGTTGTAGAATATTTCAAAAAAAATTTCCTATTTTATTTAATGTCGTTATTTTTTGTTCTAATTTGATAATTATAATAAATAAATTTAATTAACTTATTCATTTTTCTTTAAAGGAAAGATATCAATTTTACTTGCACTTCTAGTGATTGGTTCAAGTGAATCATTTTTGTCACGTGAGTATGGAAACAGATTTTTTTAAAAACAAAAATATAGTCTTTTTAACGACTCTTTATTAAAAGCGTCTTCACGTAAATGTAACTTATACGTGTATATGTTCTTTTGTTATTCATCACTGACTCATAATTTCTTAGTCAAAAGAAAACTTTAAAGATTTCACTTTCCACCTACGCACACTCAGAGTTATTGTAACAATAAGCTTCTGGCAAGGTCAAGGTCTATTATTTAATTATTAACTCATAAGTTGATGATCGAGTATTATTATTTAATTATTAACTCATAAGTTGATGATCGAGTATTATTATTTAATTATTAACTCATAAGTTGATGATCGAGTATTATTATTTAATTATTAACTCATAATTGGAAAAATGAGTATTAATTATACAATCAAATACATACTTTAGTTCAGGTCTAGGTTGATTAGAAATATTTCCTAGATTTACTTTTTTTTTACTAAAAATTAAGAATTAATATTTTCAGCTCCTTTATAATTCTAATAGACTGTATTATTTCCTCAGTAAAATTTAAAAATTAGTAAAATGCACTTTGGACGAATAGTAAAATTTATTCCGGAAAAATTAAATTGACAAAAATTAAGAGGTTATAGTCACGATTTAAAAAAAAAATTTTTTTTCAGTTTCTTAACGTATATATATTTGACTGCTGTAAAAATAATTTTTATTGAGATTCGAGAAATATTTTTAAAGCTACAGACATAATTAGCAATGCGGCGCCGTGCGGTGTAGACTGTTTGTGAAACTTTAATCTTATTTTTTCTCAAAACTACGTTTTTTAATATTTTTTTTAATATTGACCACAATATCTCAAAAATCGCTGTACCGATTTAGCTAAAATTTTCACACAAGCTCAACAACTACTATTGTTGTCATTGATCAAAGGTTTTTTTTAAATACGATAAAAATTATTAGTTTAATCAACAATTTAAGACAATTTTTTTTTCATGGAAATGAAATTTTTTTGAGAAGCTGACATTTTGTGAAAAAGTGATATTTTTTTAATTCCTTCGAATAAGGACAACTTTTTTTCAAACAAACTATGTAATAGAATTTGTTTTACTCATTGATTGAAGCTAATTCCGTCGAAAGATATTTTTGTTACCGTGGGTGTTTTCGGCACTCGCTCTGGGTTAACTCTAGAGTTAACAAGGGTGCTCAACCGCATTCTAAAATGAACGTGAAATTCACTTGTGAACAGTGTTTAAGGTAATCTGCCTAACCCAACCTGACTAAAATTTCTTAGCACGTTGAAGGTACAAACCAAGGTACAAACTTTGTTATCCCTAATTTTAATTAGTTTCAATTTAAAAGTTAAAAAGTATGGCTGAGACCAATGAGACATTTGAAATAATAAATGCTGTGGTCGATATAACGGGGCAATTAGTTTTGCGACCAAGTGACAAAACTGTATTATGTTATCTGTTGAAGAATAACGGTAAGTTCTATTGCAATTACAATTTTTTTGTTTTTAATTAAATTAATATTTATTTATTAAAATTTTGTTTGTAATTAGTTTGTTATTGTTTTTAATTAGTCTGTTATTTAATATAAATTATTTATAACTAAGTGATGTTTCATTCCACAAAGCTTTTTGTTTCAATTGCAATCTATATCTATCTTCTATCCATCATATGTATTAATAACCGTTGTATTCCAGTAATCCGTTCGCAATTTGATATTATTTATTGTTTGCTTTTATGTTTCGTAACTTTTTTAATAATTTTTCTATTTAAAATGTTTATAATTTTAAAATTAATGTATTGAAAATCATCGAATTTTATTTAGGAAAATAATTAAATTCTCGAGAATTTAAGTTAAAATGTTTGAAAATTCTAATTTAATTATTTTTTAAGAATTTCTTTAAATTTTTTTCAAATAATGGAGTTTCTTTGTTTTTTAAAAATTTTGAGAATTATTGAATTTTATGAAAAATTTCTTTGAAGTTTTGAAAATAATCTTGTTTGTTAGTAATTGCGAAATTGAACATTTAATTATTGAATTTTATTAAATTTTAGAAAATAAATGAATACTTTTGAAAAATTTTTATAATGAATAAAGAAAAAATTGAATTCATCCTTGAAGTTTTTTGAAAATAATTTAATTTTTGCAAAAAATTTTACTATTTACATATAAACATAATTGTTTTAAAAAAATTTTAAATATTAAATATTTATTTAACCAAAAAGTAATTTTTAGTTCGACATATTTAATTTATTAAATTACTTTATTCAGCTTTTAATTTTTCCTAAGTTTATTTACTTTCTTAAATTAAATCAGTTAAAATTCATTGTTTTAACTGACAATCAGTTAAAAAATCAGCCTTTTTGCTTCTAAATCAGTTATTTTTAAGTTATTCAAATTTAGAGAGTTTTGTTTAAATAGATATTTCTTAAAAATATTGTTTTAGGACAAAAAACAATGGGCTACGTTGCGCAGGAGGATTATCATGAAATGTTATGTAGCCGCCAATGTTCAGAAGAATCTTCAGAAATAGATCAAAATAATAGAATCGATGAGGAACAAAATGATGGGACTACTGAGGAAGAAGAAGAAATCGGCGTGGGGCAAGATAAAATAGCAAAAGGAGAAATGGAGAACCAAAAATCTGTGGAGAAAGAAAGTAGGAGGACAATTAAATTGAAATTAATATTACTTTTTAATATAATTTGATAAAGTTCATGTTTATTATGAAAGATTTTGAATAAAAAATAACAGGGTTGCCACGCAACCTGGAAACCTTTAAAACCTGAAAATGTCAGGGAATTTTATAAACCTTGAAAAAACCTGGAAAAGTCAGGGAATTTTGATCAAAATCCTGGAAAATTGTTATTTTCTAAATTTTATTCTTGATATCTAATTTTACATAAACATTCCAAAATTAATTGAATTTTAAAAGAGTTACTTTTACAATTTTCATAAGTATAGATGAATTTCAAAAGATTATAATTCGAAATTTTTTAAAATTTCAATTTTCAATCGTCTCAAAGAACGTAGATTTTTGAAAAATTTTAATTATTCCAATGCTTCTGAAATTAGTTAATTTTTTTTGTATATATTTTTTATTGATTATTAAAAATAATGGATTTATAGAAGAATGTTAATTAAAAACACTAAAACAAATTAAATTTTGAAGCAATTACAAATGATTGCATAAATTCAATTATTTTCTAAAATAGTAAAATTCTTCTTAGAAATTCAATTATTTCCAACAATTTTAATAAAATTCATGGCAAAATTTCAATTATTTTCAAAAACTTCCCTCAATTCAATGATTTTCAATATCTATTATTTTAATAAAATTTTCCAAAAAGAAAATCCAAATATTTAAATAAACATTTTAATAAAGTTCGTCTCAAGAATTTAATTATTTTCAAAAATAATATAATTCTTTACCGAAATTTAACTGTTTTCAACAATTTACAAAATTTCTCGTCAAAATTTCAATAATCTTTATAAATTTTTCTCTGAAATTCAAATATTTTCCAAAAAATAAAATATTATTAGTATTTGTCCAGAGAATTCAATTATTTAAAAATTTGTTTGATAAAATTCTTTATGACAATTTAATTTTAAGAAACATTAAATCATTTAGTAAAATATTTATTTTCTTAATGAAAACTAATTTAAAAATAAATTGCAGTTAAAATTTAAGATTATTATTGAATATTGAAAGCAATATAGCGTAAGTTTTTAGAAATAATTGAATTTTGAAAAGGTTTGAAATTAAAATCTTTGGAAATTTGAAATTTTCGTACTTTTTTGATTAACAATTCTGTAGAATTCATTTTAAAAAAAAGTTTAATTGAATTTTCCTTTAATTCTTTACTTTTTTATTTTCTTATATATTTATTTAATTGAAGAATGTCAGAATAATCTAAATCACGTAAAAATGAATATTGAAAATATTTGAATTCTTGCTGAGAATTTTATCAATTTGAATTATTTCGAAGAATTTTATTCATATTTTTGAGAATAATTGAATTCCTGCAAATGATTTTATTATTTATAAAAATAATTAAATTGACAAGATTTTTAAGGAAATTTAGAATTGATTTTTCTGAAAAAGTTTAATGGAATTTTTTTTTTAATTATTTGAAGTTTTTAATTTCTAATTTATTTAATTAAAGAATGTCAAAATAATTGAAAATTTTGATAAAATTGAATTGTAAACAAATGGATTTTAAAATTCTCAAAGAAGAACTTTTTTAAAAATTATTAAAAAAAATTGTTTTAAAAAAAATTGTTTTAAATAAAGAATTAAAATGAAATAAAAATAATTTTGAAGCAATTACAGTAATAATGTTTTTATAATATAAAATAATTATAGTATCAAGTTTTAATGATTATAAAACATGAAGAAAGCGATTACTTCGAGTGTTCGACTCGGATCGATATCTTCATGTTTTATAATAAACAAACATTCTTATATGTTATTGAATTAAAATTTTTTGAAAATCTCAATTTATGTAAAAAAAATAATGATTAAATATTTATTTAAAAATGAAGTCATTGATGTTTTCGAGTAATTTTACAATTAAATAAATTCGTAAATAAATATTATAGAACAGGAAAAAAGTCGTTTTGGCTGAAAATCAAGGAGTTTGGTGAAATTAAATTTAAAATTAAAAACAAAATTTGGTAAAATATAAATGTAGTTTTAAAAACTTGGAAAAATTCCGTTTTTTAACCTGGAAAAGTCAGGGAATTTGAAATGAGGAAAAGCGTGGCAACCCTGAAATATTTATAATCGGAATTTTTGTTTGGAAAAATATATACAATAATTCTTGATGAATAACTTAATAATGAAAAATTTATAAATAAAAAATATTCTTTCTCGAGTAAAATTCATTAATTTTTTCTTTCAATCGTTGATAATAAATGCTGTGAGCTTTGCCAAAGTACCTTCATTTATTTTGAGAAATTATAAACCGTAATAATATTCATCGAATTCATTTTAAAGTCCTTTCTTCTGGCGTTTGTGATCGGGTAATATCATCGGGATATCTTCTAATTAGACAAAATTTATTTGTTTTAGCTACTAAAAGTTCAGGGCAATGGACAGATGCCGAAACGAAAGTTCTAATTGAAATGTATCCACATGTGGCAGAATCATCAAAAGATAATCTTAGTCCAGATTTTTGGAAGAAGGTTAGCGGTTTATTGGCTTCCAATGGTTTGAAAAAAACGTGGCTTTCATGCAAGGAAAAATGGAAGTCATTAAACCGCACCTATAAAATTAATCTTGCCAAAAAGAAGGAAACGGGAACAGGGCCCATTACTTGGCCATATTTTGATCAGTTACATGAAATTTTATTTAAAAAGCCGGAAATAAATCCGGTCGCAACAGCCTCCAATATCTCGGGGTACAAAAAAAGGATTGCCAAAGAAGTGGAGGAAGAAAATGAAATAAAACCGTCATGTTCATCAAAAAATAAAAAAATTAAAACTGAACCAGAATGGTTGCAAGAAATGAGAAAAGATGCGGCCTTGCGCCATGAGCAAAATTTAGAGTGTAAGAATAAATTCGTTTCAACTTTTACAGAACTAGTAGACGTGATGAAGAAAAAACAGTAAAAGTGGAGCGTTTTTTTGTTAAAAGTTTTTTTTATTTCATACTACTGATTATTATACGTCAGTTTTTATTTTTTATTGGGGTCACCAAAAAGTCGGTAAAGACATTAATGGAAAAAATAACTAATATTTTTCTTTCTGATAATTAAAAAACTCTTTCTTCATCTCTTCCGACCATTCTGTCTTCGTTACAGTTCACAATTCAAAATAAAAGCTAAAACTGGCACCCAGTTAATTTTCCAATTTTTGTGTTGCTTTCAAAATAGAAATATTTTACTTTAAAATTTAATTTTTGAAAATCTTATATTAATAAGTGGGTGTCAGATTCAGTCTTTTATTTTATTATTATTTTTTTTAATTATTTAATAATTTCTCTAGATAAAATTTAAGCAAACGTTGAAAGTATTAATGACGTTAAGACTGATTACATTGTGATAAAAATAAATGTAAGATGCCCAAAGAATTAGGCACATTATTCAAGCCTTTCGTGTAGTCTATTAGAATACTTTATAAGAAAATGAGTGCTGTGAGATGCAATACTTAATTTAAAATGTGTAAATCTAGAGTAATTTATTAATATTGTATTTTTTAAATAAATATTTCACAAAATATTCTAACGTGAATATTATTTTACAACTCGCTCCGAGCAGCGGAATTTTTTTTACAATTTACTGTTAAAAATTGTCTACAGTCTACAAATTTTATCGTCTTTTGATATTTTTAGTCTTAAACTGAATAGAATAAAATTTCTGAAAAATCCTTCTAAACAATTAACAATATTTTTAGAAAAAATCATGTTAATTTTTAAAATTTTTCATTTCACATCATCGAAATCAATTTTAAGTAGTCTAGTATGATCTCCAAATAAATAATAATGCATAATGCAATGTATTTAAATTGTTATAAACAATGTTAATTAACAAATTATATAACTTTGGTCTTTGTTCATTAAAAAATTGCCTTTTTGCCGACAAATTTGTTTATAACAAATGTAATTGTTTAACAATTGTTTAACAAATTTGTTTACAAATGCTAATACATTTTTAAAGTTTATAAAAAACGTGCATATGATATTAACATTTTATGTTTAAAAAATGTCGAAAATGTTTACAAATGCAAAAGAAAATTGATTATTGTTCATATAATTATTAATAACAATATCGTAATTTTTAACTTTAAAATCATTTAGACGAGAATAATTTATGAATATAAATTACTTAACTAAACCTAAAATTTGTCAGCAAAGATAATTTATTTATAAAAAAAACACAAGTTATATATTTGTTAATTAACATTGCTTATAATAATTATAATAAATTAAATAAATTTTAATAAATATATGTAACTTTCATATAATACCATATTCTGCAATATTATATTTATGTATTACTCAATCAGGCAGGTTACAAAAATTTAATTTTGTTTTTCCCTGATTTCCAGACAAAATTTTGACTTTTTCCCTAAAGAGTTTTCTGATTTACTCTAAAAATGATTAGATAATCCAAAAAATGTTCTGTTCCATTTATTTACGAATTTTTTTTAATTGCAAAATTATTCGAAGACATCAATAACTACTTTTTTAAATAAATATTCTTTATAATAAAATTAAAGACAACCGAGTGATGAGATTATTATTTTGAATAATAGAAATATTTTTACTGTAATCTTTTCAAAATTAGTTTCATCATTTCAATTCAACTATTTTTTTCTAGAAATGGCAACTAAAATTCTTCTTTAAAACAATTGTCTTCAATAATTTTTAAAAAATTTCTTTTCAATTTTCAAATTATTTTTTTACAATTAAATTGTACGAAATTTCCATTATTCAAAAATTGTTCTATTCAGTACGGATTAAAAAAGAAACACTTCAAATAATTTTTAAAATAAATTCAACTAAAGTTTTTCAAAACAATTAATTCTTCAGATTGTTACTTTTAAGTGTGAAAAATTTAGATTTTCAAAGAAATTAATTTAAAATTGAAACTTTTCCAAACTTCAATTATTTCTTGAAATTGATGCTATATATTGTATAATGCTTTTAATATTCAAATACTATGTAAAATTTTATCTGAAAATCATTTATTACATCAATTTTTATTAGGAAATTCTACGAGAATTAAATTATTTAAATGCAAATAATAAATAATTTATAGAATAATTAAATGTTTTTTAAAATTGAATTCTTTTATAAAGAATTTTATTAAAACAAATTTAAATAATTGAATTCTCTTGACGAGTGTAAATAAAATTTTTAAGATTAATTACATTTCTCGAGGAATTTGATTATAATTGTTTTAACAATAATTGAAATTCTGTGATGAGTTTTATTTTTTATAATACTTCAACTCCTAAAAAGAATTTTATTAAAGGCTTTACTACAGCCGGTATATCAGAAAAGAAAAGAAATCCAAGGTTCCGACCATAAATAGACATACAAAGAAAATTTCAGCAAAATTTGAAATAAATCGGTAGAGTAGATCTTGAGATATCGTGTCAACCAGTTTTTTTCAGTTTCCACTTCACCAGTTTATAACTTATAAAATTTTTTATTACTTTTTTTCTGTTTTCTTTGAACATTAATAAAGAACTTGCAAAAAAAGTAAATACTAAAATTGTTAATCTTTCTTTTTTACCTACTCCAAAAAACGTTTTAAATTTTGAGGCCTCTAGACCTGAATTTTTTTTCTCCCTACAGAATTCCTATCGAATTCGAATGAAATTACTAGTAAAATTCGTGTTCATTCGTTTCATTCGAAAATTCGTATATAGAATTTCACACGAAATTTTGGCTAAAAATCTCGTCCAAAATTTTCGGCGAAATTTCCATACGAAATACGTATGAAATTCGATTGAATTACGAATGGATTTATTTTGTAAAATTTTTAGAAAATTTCTGCTCGGAAATTCGTATGAAATTCCGCACGAAATGTTAACTACAAATTTCTTTAAAAATTTTCGTGCGGAATTTTATACGAATTTCCAAGCAAAATTTTATAAAAAATTTCCAAATTGAATCCGTTCGTAATTCGCCTGAATTTTAAACGAAATCCGTAAGGAAATTTGTCCAAAAAAATTTTTAAGAAATTTTCAAAAGAATTTCCGTGCGAATTTCCATACGGATTTCCGAACCAAAATTTTTTTAAAATCCATTTTAAAAAAGCTGGGTACTATTCGTGCGAAAAAACGTTTTAATACGCCGCACGAATTTCATTCGAATTCGATAGGAATTCTGTACGAATCTGACCAGATTTCTGATCGAAATTCGTACAAATTTCTTACGAATCATTTTTTTCTGCGTGTAAAAGGTAAAATGAATAAAGGCAATGTTTCCGTTACTAAACGGAAAGGGAAACCCTTCAAGGAAAAGTCATATTTCCATATATAAATTTATATATATATATAATACAAATTTATATGTATATGTACTGTTACTTGAAAGTAAACCTTCTTATATATTTACAAATTCAAATCCTTAAAAACTATACATAGCATATGTATTACGCTCTTCCATATAAATCACACCCGTACACGCATATAGAAACAATAAAAATAACTAAATGTTGCACCAAAATATATACATACATTCACACTCATGCACGCAAACGTAAGTAATTTTACATTAGTAAAATCTTATCCTAATAACTATTTACAATATAATGTACTAAAAAAGCACTTAAGATTGTTTTGCTGTTTGAAAGCACTTAAGATTGTTTTGCTATTATTAGACACTTTTCACTTATTTCCTATACGAAGCTTTAATACATGATGCCGTAATCATGAATTAATTACGTCATATAATGTACGTTATCACTCGCGATTAATATACAGCGTGTTGGCAATAATATTACGCTTAATATCCGGATTAAAACGTTGATTTCCTGGTTGTCCCTCTGGTATCGGTTCATTCTCATAATCGTTGAGTTCTTCATCCAAGTCATCTTCCTGAATATTTGGAACGTCATCAATAATGTCATTCAAGGATATGCAAATGTTGTGGAGACAACAACAAGCAAGAATAATGAGTGAAGCGTACTCCACATTTTGGAGGTATAAATATTTAAGTCGTCTAAAACGACACAGAAGCAACGCAAAAGTTCTTTCAATCACTTGCCGTGTTCTTGCATGCAACAGATTGTAGTACCTTTGTACTCTGGTCAAATTGCCGTACTCTTTGTAAGGCGGCAACAAATTAAAGTTTACTGGATATATTTTATCTCCCAAAATGTGAGTTTGCCCTGGAAAGTATTTTTCATTATCGCGTTCACTTTCGTTCCTAATATCACTCATCTGCCATACTCTTGCATCATTTACACTGCCACAACAACCAGCATAAACATCAATAAAGCGCATTTGAGCATCGCAAATTCCTTGCATATTTATTGAATAATAGCCGTGTCTATTTACGTAACTCGCTGGATTTTCATGAGGTGCGCTGATTTGGATGTGGCATCCATCCACAGCCCCAATGACACTTGGAAAGCCAGAAAATGCCTGAAACTCTTGCTTGTTCCTTTCCACTTCATCTTCAGTAGGCCATTTAATAAATTCTGATGAACGCGTACAGAGAACAGTTGCTACGTCACGAACACACTGCCAAGCAGTTGATTTGGCTACGCCAAAACGATCAGCAACAGATCTGTTATTAAAAGCAAAAAAAGCAAATATTAGACATCAATAATTAATAGCTTTTAGAAAACTTTAAAAATATCTGCTACAAAAAAAGAATGAATATTCTTCGCAATTTAGTAATATCTATTGTATTTCTATGAAGCCAATTTTATTTTAGGAAAAATTTGCATTAAAACAACTTATCCTAAGATTGTATACTTATTCAAAATAAGATGTGTTGAATCTATTCTCTTTCACAGTTAATTTTCATATTTAAGTTCAAAAAGCTTTTAAAAATAAGCAAAATAATAAGGACAAAGAAAAAACAATATTATCAAGGAAGAAAATTTGATTTTTTCAGAATTAAAATCGAGTTTTTTTCAGAAAACTTCAATTTTTAAGACCTACAATTTTAGTTCCGCGGTGTCATGTTGTTTTTTAGGTTCGTAGTAATCCGACAAATGTATTTGAGCAAAAATTAATAGTTAAAAAAAGTCAAGGACAAAAATTTAAATTTTTTCAGAAAAATTTAATTTTTAAGAACTAGTGCGTTTTCGTCCTGCGGTCAATAATGTTATTTTTTGAATTCGTAGTAATGTAAGAAATGTATTTAAGTACAAATTCTTAGACATTCAATGCGAACAGAACATATATTTAAAAAAAAACTTTTTAACTTCTTTTCGAAATTTGTATGCTAAATTTGTTTTAAGTATTTTTTGTAGCTAGAGGTTTCAAATTGAAAGAAGATAATCAAAAAAATTAATTGACTGAGATGCTTTCGTTATATAAATTTATATACATTACTTTTCTCGTATGACTGATAAAAATAACATTCTACTTTGAATCGCCTAACTAATTTCGTGTTAATAAAAAAATATCATTAAATAATTATATTTAGTCTTACCGATAGACCTCTTGATTTGCAAATGTCCAGATGGCAATAGCCAATTTCTTGGTCACCGTTACATTTAGATATGGCGTATTTAAATCTGGTCCAAACATGAGGCTCAATGCTTCAAAAGTCGTTCTCGTCATTCGAAAATGAGATTGAAAATCTGTTAAGAGTTATACAAAATAATTAGAAAAATATGAATAAGTTTTGAGATATTTAAATCTTTAATTTTCAAATTAAATTTAGTACTATACAAATTACAATTTTTAAATAAATCATCTTTTGATAGATAATCATAAACTTTAAATACAAGTTTTTGCAAGGAACAACAAAGCGACCTCCGTTAAAAAAGCTCCATGGACGAAGCATTCACTTATGATTGATTTTTCGAAAATTAGGAAAAGACGCTTCACGTGAAAAATTTTTTTGTAAGATACCCCTTATAAATTGCAGGAAAATTTAATGGAGTTTCCATAGAAAATCATCAACAGTTTCTACTTTTTATAAACATTATACAAATTCTTTAAGTTTATATCTACATCTTCCACAAACTTTTTTTACATAATATGTTTAACACTGATTGGAAGAATAATTTTGCAAATAAGTTGACACAAAAACCTTATAATTAGATTCAAATCATTATAGAAATCTTAAAATTCCAAAATAATAGCTATTTATTAATTTTGAGGAAAAATATAGAACTTCTTTTTACTCGTTTTTAATCATTAAATATTAAAAATATTCTATGTTGAAGTCGAAAACAAAAATTTTACGAGAAATTTCCAGAAGATAAATTTTCATAAAATCTTTCCACCTGAGAGGGCTAAAAAATTGAAAATCAGTCATTGCCGGCTTAGAAAATAATAAAAATTAATTTAATATGCAATTGTATCTTTTTCAGCGGGAGATATTAAAGATATTTGAATGTAATTTTTAATTTTTTTAATTTAAAATTAGTTCTAAGTTACATACAGTAATACCTAAACTTCTTTTAATGAAAATAAGTCTTGTTATATTATTTATACCCGAAAGTGAATATCTTGGGACCGTTTCTTCAAAAAAATCTTCAATTTTTGGATGTTCTTCTTTCTCTTTCAAATTTCGAAGACATAGATTAACGAGGTCATCCTCATCCTCCTCCTCCTCATCGAAAATAACATTATAAGCCGCCATAGCCATCATTGCTATAACATTAACTTAAAATACAACATAAAACTTAGTTATTCTGAACAAAATATTATATAAGGCCTCGTAAAATTTATTACATCAAAATATTATATGATCAAAAACCATTTATTATTTTTAATTAAGTTATTCTTATATTGGCCAAGTGATTTCTGAAAGACAGGCTTCGCACTCCTCTACTAAAACCTATTTTTTACTACTTTTTTTACGATTAGCTACTATTTAGATACTTTTTTTTAAATTTGTGACACTAAACGATACTGTTTTCTTTTTTCTGAACAAATTAAAAATACATTTTTGCTCTTCAAAATGTGGCCATTGCAAATATTTTTAATAAACTTTTAATAGCCAGCGTTTCCACCCACCCGTATCAAAGGCCGAAAAATGTTAAAATTTAAAAAAAATTCATAAGTCGATAAAATTGAAATCCGAGCTAATCTAGCAAAACTGAAATAGGTATTTTCTAGTTTTAATAAGTACTCTCAGAAACTAAAGTCAAAATTTAGTGCAAATGTTATGTGTTGCATTGTGTTATCGAGAAATATTTTCGAAAAAAATCAATTGTTTAAAATAATTTTCAAAGAATTTTTTTGAAAGATATTAAATATTTTCTAAAATTTTGATAACATTTATTTAGAAGAAATAAATTATTTTCATATATAAGTAATAAAATCCAATTATTTTTTATATAATTTTAATTAGCTTATTCGATCCTAATTGAATTATTCTTTTAAATTTTTATAAAATCATTCAAAAAAATCCAATTATTTATAAAATTCTTTTTCAAAATCATTCGCAAAAATTCAATTATTTTTAAAAATTATAAAATGCTTCATTTAATAAATTTTTAAACGTAATTACTTTCAAAAATTTTTTTTTATTCTTCAAAATAAATCTATTATTGACAAAAGTTTTTGGAAAATCTTTGTTAAAAATTCAATTATTTTCATAAATAACGAAATTCTTCGCTGAAATCCAATATTTCTTATATCTATTTTTTTCAAAAGAATTAAATTATTTTGTAAAATAATTGACAATTGTTTTGTGAAAAATTCTGGGATAATTCAAATTTTAATAAAATTCTTCTGAAAAATTCAATTAATTGAATAATAAAATTTTCACATGAATTCAATTATATTTAAAATAAAATTTTGTATGAATTCCCTGAAGAATATGTATAATTTTTTTCAAAATTTTTATTAAAACTCTTGGAAAGAAATAAATATTATTTTTTAACAATTTTATAAAATTCTTTACAAGTATTCAATTTTAATAAATAATCAATTATACGATCAATTATTTATATTTGTGTTTAAATAATTGAATTCTTATTTGTGAAATTTTCTAATTAGAAAGTTAGAAAATTTGTAGAATTTTCTAACTGAAACTCTGTAAAATAATTGTAATAAAAATGTAGAATTAAAGTTATTACCAGGATAAGAAAAAAAGTAAATTTTTTATTATTGAAATAAGGAAAATGTCTCAGGGAAATGCAAAATCAAATTTGTGGCAGTTTTGTGAATTGACTAAAACGAGTTTTTCAGTCGTCAAATTTAATTTTTCGATAGCTACTTCTTTACTACTTTTTTCAATCTTAAAAGCTACTTTTTGCTACTATTAAAAGTTAATTATTGATAGAGTGCGAGGCCCGGAAAGATCTTATTATTTTCAAAATTGTATCATCTTTTAAAAAATATAAAAAAAATTGTTAAGTTTCCATACATTATATTTTTTAAAATGTTTTTCATTCACCTGGAAAATAATATTTATTTTACGAAATAACAGTTTTTACAAAAATCAAATTTAAAATTTGCATTTTTATATCAAAAAATTTTCATAAACTAACAAACTTTCATAAATATTATTTGCATTTACCAATTAAAGAAAACAAATTTTTTTTAATTGCTAAATGCAATTTATTTATTAATAAATATTTGTTATTTCATGAATTCAAACATTAATTAACTTTTCTAATTTTATTTAAGCAATACATACCTTCTTCCATTTTCCTGAATATACAAATAAATATATTCTCTTTTTTGAATAATTTGTAAATCTCCAAATCCAGTAATTCAAATTCACAAATCACGTGTGTCAATTATAGGTTAGGATATTACCCGTTCGTTAAACTCTCGCAAAAAAACAGAGTTAACTCTGGGGCTTATAGTAACAAAATTTTAGGGAATTTTATGAAAAATAAGCAGAATATTTTATATCTTAACTTTTAATAACTAGAATATTAGGTGATTTTCATACGCTACCGTCATTTCTCAATTCTGCGCCAATGAAAACCACCAGCTGCATTAACAGTAAAAGTTTACTCATAAAACTAGTTGAGCACCCCTGTCAACTCTAGAGTTAACTCAGAGCGAGTGCCGAAAACACCCCGTGAGACACATTTTTTTCGATCATCGCTAGATTATAGGTTAGAAATATTAAAATTATTTGGATTTGGAGGACTTTCTACGGTTCTTCAGTTTTTTCGAATGGGAATCCGATTTCAAATATATATTCTCAATAGTGCATTTGGAAATAAATATTCCGTAGTTCTATATCATAGGTCGAAATTGTATATTCTAGGAGATTTAACGGCCAACGAGTTTGCCGACCATGTGGTCGACGACAAAAACTTTTATTGTATACTTTTACCTTATTTCTGAGGTCCAACGATGATAAAACCCATAACCTCGGAGTTTCTCCAATAACTGCGCTACGTACTCTGTTCATTTCTTTTGTCACGTCACTGACAAAAATAGTTTGAAGGTCACACTCGAAATGCCGGGAAAAGCCTTGTAACGTCTCTCTTGCCCGTATTGTCTGGTACATATGAGAGCCTTGGTTCTGTCACATGGCGATAACTGTCTGGGCTGCTGTGTCTTCGGGTTGAACTGTTGAACAATTTTTTTCTAAAGGCCAATACATAATAAATTTTTAACCGGAAACGCAATCGGGGAATCACTCGTTATGGTTACTTTTACGTTATTGATTAAGAATCTATCCTTAGGGGTTAGTTCCATATGTTTACCAGAAAACGTAAAGCAAATTAGCAAAGCATAGAATTTCGTTAGAATGGAAAGGAGAGTATGATGGCTCTATCCTTCTTCCATTCTAATGAAAATGGTTAAGATTTTTAATGTGCAAATATTATTTTTAGATAAGGAGGGCAATTGTCCTTACAGAACCAGCGTGAAAGAATGTCTTCCCCACTGTAGAAGTGATTATGATTGTGGATTCAATAAAAAATGTTGTCCAAATGTCTGCGGCGATACTTCATGTGCCACGGCTACTGCTTTCTCCACCGGCTCGGATGGAGGTTACAAGTCATCTTACGATGGTATAAATATTTATCATTCACTATACATAAATTACTAACTATTAAAAAATATTTAAAATAATAATTGAATCGTCAATTTCGAGGAGTTATTAAAACTTTGAAAACCGTTAGAATTGAGCACTTTGGGCCAATTGAAATAATCATGAAACGTACATACATCGTAATAGAATATTTACATGAGAGAGAAAAGGTTAGATAAATTTTCTGTCCTTTCCTATCTCCTGTAATGCTAGATTTTGTTTTCTAAATAGTTAAAAATTTTTTTTAGATTTTCACTTAATAAGTAATGTTAAATTGTTTTTAAAAAATTATATTCAAAATTAATAAATTTCATTAATAAATTAATATATTTCAAAATAATTTTTTAAGTTTTTGTAAATTTTTACTTAATATATTGTTAAATATTGTTAAAATTATAAACTGTTTTGCAGATGTTAAATATTGCGCAGGAGTAAAATGCCAAAAAGGTGAAAAATGTGAATTAGACAGGCGAACAAAACGTGAAAAATGTGTTCGAGCTTGAAGATGATTAATATAATTAATAATGGTAATTTTAAGTAAAAGATAATATTAAAAGTAATACATGTATTATTGTATCAAATTATTCAAATTTTTCTTTTTTTTAAATATAACAAATAATTTTTGATAATATATTTAAAAATAAATATTTCCAAACAATTCATTATTTAGAAAAAAATCATTTCTTTACTTAAAAAAAAAAAATTTCTCTCTTTCTCGCTTTCTCAAAAGTAAAAAAAATTTTAATAAAATTCTACGCAAACATTTCATTATTTTTATAAATAATAAAAATTTCCCAGGAATTCAATTATTTACAAATTATTTTCATATATTATTCAATTATTTTCATAAATAATAATATTTTTTACAGGGATTCAATTATTTTCATAAAAAATAAAACTCATTGCTGAATTTCAATTATTTTTAATACAATTTTAATGGAATTCTTCGAAAAAAGTTATCATTCTTATAAATTTTATTAAAATTTATCAAAAAAATTTAATTATTTTAATAAATTTTGCTACAGTTTATTATAAGAATTGAAGTAATATTTTCAATACATTTTTAATTAAATTTCTTTAAAGAATAAAATTATTTTCAAAAATTTTAATGAAATTCTTGACAGAATTTCAATTATTTTTAATACAATTTTCATCAAATTTCTTGAAAAATGCAATCATTCTTAAAAATTTTATTAAAATTTGTCAACAGAATTCAATTATTTAAAAATTTTTTTGATAAAATTCTTTGTGAAAATTCATATTTAAGAAACATTCAATTGTTCATTGAAATATTTATTTTTATATTTAAATAATTGAATTCTAGTAGAATTTTCTAATAAATATTAATTTAAAAATAAATTTCAAATTAAAATTTATGAAAATTTGAACTTTTCATACTTTTAATTAATAATTCTGTAGAATTAATTTTTCTCAAAATGTTAAATGGAATTTTTTTTAATTATTTGAAGTTTTTAATTTCTAATAAATATTTCATTGAAGAAAAAATTATTTTTAAAAAATGGACTTAAAGAAGAATTTTAGTTTAAAATCTTAGAAATTAATAATCGTAATGATGAAAATAATTTTTGAAGAAATTACACTAACAAAGTAGCAAGTTTTAATTATTATAAAATTTTAATTTTATAAATTTTAATTACTATAAAATTCTTGTCGAATTTTTCAATAAAAATTGATTTAAAATGAATATTAATGAATATATATTAAAAGCATTATAGCATAAATTTTTAAAAATAATTGATAATTGAATTCTCTCGAAGAATATTAATAAAATTTTTGAAGATATTTTCATTTTTCGAGAAATTTATTATAAATTGTATTAAAAATAATTGAAACCCTGATGTGAAGAATTTTATTAATTTATAAAAATAATTGAATTCTTGCAACAAATTTTATCAAAATTTCTTTTTAAATAATTAAAATAATGTAAAGAATCTTATTATTTATGAAAATAATTGAATTCTTGCAACGAATTTTATTACATTTTTTTAAAAATAATTGAATTTTATTGAGAACTTTTATTAAAATAGTAGATTTTCAAAATATTTGAATTTCAACGAAACATTATATTTGTAAAATGTAATTAAATTCTTCCAAAAAAAAATTTTAAAAAATAATTCCATTTTTTAGGATTTTAATTTAAATTGTATAAAAAATATAATTGAAATCCTCAGAAAAATTTTATAATTTATGAAAATAATGGAATTCTTATAATGAATTTTATTAAATTTTTTTTGGAAATAATTAAATTCATGTGAAAAATTTTATTAATTGTAAAAATAATTGAATTCCTGCAACGAATTTTATTACATTTTATTTAAATAACTAAATTTTTTTTTGAGAACTTTTATTGAAATAGTAAATTCTGAAAATTTTTGAATCTTAGCGAAGAATTTCATTATTTGTGAAATGTAATTTAATTCTTGCAAATAATTTTTGAAGATATTTTCATTTTTCGAAAAATTTATTATAAATTGTATTAAAAATAATTGAAATCCTGTAAAGAATTTTATTAATTTATGAAAATAATTGAATTCTTGCAACAAATTTTATCAAAAATTTTTTTTAAATAATTATGAAATAATGTAAAGAATCTTATTATTTATAAAAATAATTGAATTCCTGCAATCAATTTTATTACATTTTTTTTTAAATAATTGAATTCTATTGAGAACTTTTATTAAAATAGTAGATTTTCAAAATAATTGAATTTCAACCATGAATTTCATTATATTCGTGAAATGTAATTAAATTCTTACAAAAAATATAAGAAAATAATTGCATTTTTCTGGGATATTATTTTAAATTGTATTAAAAATAATTGAAATCCTCAGAAAATTTTTATAATTTATAAAAATAATGGAATTCTTATAACGAATTTTATTAAAAAATTGTTTTTAAATAATTGAATTCATGTGAAAAATTTTATTACTTGTAAAAGTAATTGAATTCCTGCAACGAATTTTATTACATTTTATTAAAATAACTACATTTTTTTTTAGAACTTTTATTAAAATAGTAAATTTTGAAAATTTTTGAATTTCAGCGAAGAATTTCATTATTTGTGAAATTGTAATTCAATTCTTGCAACGAATTTTATTATAATTCAATTTTTTTTTTTTAATGTTATGGAAATCTAAATTTTTATAAAACATGAAGATATGAATTACTCCGAGTCGAAGACTCGGAGTGATTCATATCTTCATGTTTTATAATAATATTCTTATAAGTTGTTGAATTTTAAAAATGTTTGAATTTTAATGTTTTGAAGAATTTTAATTCCTATGGAAAAATAGTAATTAAATACTTATTTAAAAATGAAGTTATTGATGTTTTCGAATAATTTTCGACAATTATCACAATTTTTTTTACAAATAAATTTTAATCTCATAATCTAGGATGTACAAAAGTATTTCTTTTCTTTTTTTTTTTGCAAATATTTACATTATTCCGAAACGTTGTAGTTACCGTAGAGGAAAAGCAGTTTATCAACTAAATGTGACGGTAGGGCTGCACGTTTCGTGTCATAGATAACTTGTGCCTCGGCTGAAATTCGTGATGGCGGTGGACAACACGCGGGTACACAATTATATTTTTGTGCTAGTTTCGATAAATGAGGACATTTCGCAACATTATTTGCCCACCATTGCAGGGGACAATGATCCAATGCAGCCGTTGCTTCCGATTGATATTGAACTAATTCCAAATCCGCTTTCTCTTCCGATGGCATTCGATTTTTAGAGCTACAAAATTGATCACCCAACAATTGTTCCATTCCTGTAAGATAAAAAATTCCCTTTTATCTTTCAATAAATATTCAATCTCTATTCTAATCAAAATTCATTAAAATATTTTCTCTTACTAGACATTCGTCTCTTCTTCTCGGGAATATCATCCATTTTACTGATTCGATTTCCGCCTTCATCCTCAATTAGCTTCGTCAACATGTCCTTGATTGGTGCCGAAACAAGTGTTTTATCCTCGTCCGTTGCATAAGGAAGTTGCTTAAATCTAAAATAAGTTTTAGAAAAATTAAAATTTTGTAAAACTGGTTAATTATTGAAAAAAAAAAAAATTTAAAGAAAATAAAGCATACCTTGGATCGAGTGTTGTTGCAATTTGCAAAAGTAACGTAACATTACTATCGGCATAACGCTCGCACAACATGTCTGATAAATTTTCCTTAAAATTTCTCGTTGTACCACTGTCCGCTTCTTTTGCTTTCAAATGCGAAGAAACCAATTGCCACAATAATGGTTTTAATAGGGAAATTAATGGGATTTTCTCCTCGCCAACGGTCATTATCGTAACCTTGAAAGGTTCAAGAACAGTGACAAGATCTTCAATTAATTTCCATTCATCTTGAGTGAGATCAATTGTATCGTGATCGGCTCTCTCGACGGTATCGAGAATATTACTCAATACACTACGACGCAATGCCAATTGCTCCAGCATATTGTAAGTTGAAATCCACACCGATGGATAGTCCATTACTAACGAATTCTCCTCCAACTGAAAAATAATAGAAATTATAATAAATAAGAGAATTTAAATGGAAATTAAATTTAATTTCCATAAATAAAAACTTCGCACTCGATAATTAATTTTAAAAAAGTAACTAAAAAAACTAATTAATAAACTTATAAAATTAAACAAAAAAAAAAAAAAATTAAACAAGCAAATTTTATTATTCATGAAAGAATTCAATATTTATAAAAATAATTTAATTCTAGAGAAGAATTTTATAAAAAAATTTTAAATAATTGATTTCTTTCGACTAATTTTATGCAAATTCTAATTTAAATAATTGAATTCCTGAGAAATTTTTATTACTTATGAAAAAAAATTGAATTCTTACGAAGATTTTTACAAAAAATTTTTTAAATAATTGAATTCTGTTTGGAAATTTTATGAAAATAGTAGATATTAAAAATCATTGAATTGTGAAAAGATTTAAAAAAATATTAATTTTACAAAGAATTCTATTAAAATTTTTGAGAATAATTGAATGTCTGTGTGTCATTTTATTAAATTTTTTTGAAAATAATTGAATTCTTGCGAACGATTTTATTAAAATTTTTTTTAATAATTGAAATCCTGTGATGAATTTTATTATTTTTAAAAATAATTGAATTTTGCAAACAATTTTATTAGAATGCCTCAGAATAATTGAATTTCAGGGAATATTTTTGTTGTTTATCGATATAATTGAATTCTTCCGAAGAATTATTTATGTAAATAATTGAATTCTTGGAAAGAATTTTATTAAAATCTAAAAGAATAATTGAATTATATCAAAAAAATGTAATTAAAATTGTATTTCAAATAATTGATTTATTTCGAACAATTTTATTAAAATATTTGAAAATAATTGAATTCCTGTGAAAAATTTTAATATTTTTGTAAATAATTGAATTCTTGGGAAAAATTTTTGTAAAATCTAAAAGAATAATATTGAATTGTTTCAAAAAAATTTAATTAAAATTATATTTAAAACATTTGATTTCTTTCGAACAATTTTATTAAAATATTTTTTAAAAAAATTGAATTACTGTGAAAAATTCTAATATTTTTGTAAATAATTGAATTCTTCCAAAGAATTTTAAAAAAAAACATTTTTTTAAATAATTGATTTTTTCGAAGAATCATTAAATTTTTAAGAATAATTACATTTTTTGAGTAATTCCTGTAAAATAGTATAAAAAATAATTGAAATCCTGCGATGAATTTTATTATTCATAAAAATAATTGAATACTTGCAAAGAATTTTATTAAAATTTTCAAAAATAATTGAATTCCTGAGAAGAATTTTATTATTTATCGATATAATTGAATTCTTTCAAACAATTATTTATGTAAATAATTGAATTCTTGCGGGAAAAATTTTATTAAAATTTAAAAGAATAATTGAATTATTTCCAAAAATGTAATTAAAATTGTATTTAAAATAATTTATTTATTTCAAACAATTTTATTAAAATATTTGAGAATAATTCAATTCTTGGTGAAAAATTCTAATATTGTTGTAGATAATTGAATTCTGACGAAAATTTGTTTAAATAATTGTTTTTTTTTAAGGAATTGAAATTAAATTTTTAAGAATAATTAAATTTTTCCAGCAATTCCTGTCAAATTGTATTAAAAATAATTATCCTGCGATGAATTTTATTATTTATGAAAATAATTTAATAGTTGCAAAGAATTTTATTAAAATTTTCGAAAAATAATTGAATTCCTGAGAAGAATTTTATTATTTTTGAAATGAATTCCTGAGAAGAATTTTATATTATTTATGAAAATAATTGAACTATATTACGAAAAATTTTATTAAAATAATTAAAAATAATTTAATTTCTGTGAGGAATTTTGTAATTTTTGAAAATAATTGAATTTTGAAATAATTTTGTTATTTATTGATATAATTGAATTCATTCGAAGAATTATTTATGTAAATCATTGAATTCTTGGGAAGAATTTTCTTAAAGTTTAAAAAAATAATTGAATTATTTTTAAAAAAAATGTAATTAAAATTACATTTAAAATAATTGATTTTTTTTAAACAATTTTATTAAAATTTTAAAAAATAATTGAATAATTTCATGAAAATATTCAAAAAGAATTAAATTTCTGTGAGAAAATTTTTTTTTAATTTTTGAAAATAATTGAACTCTTCATAAGAATTTTACAAAAAAAAATTTTTAAATAATTAATTTTTTCGAAATATAATAAATATTATGAAAATTTTATTTTAAATAATTGAATTCTTGTGGAAAACTTTATTTGTAAAAATAATTGAATTTTTTTATTAATTGATTTAAAAAAAAATTAAAAATGATTGAAATTCTTCGATGAGTTTTATTATTTATGAAAAAAATTGAATTCTTGCTTAAAATTTTATCAAAAATTTAAAAAAAAAAAACTGAAGTTCCATGAAAAATGTTATTATTATTAGTGATAGTAATTGAATTATTGTGAAGAATTATATAAAAATTTTCTTAAATAATTGATTTTTTCGAAATTTTTTTTGAAAATGCTATTCTAAATTAATTGAATTTCTGTGATAATTTTATTATTTATAAAAAAATTGAATTTTAGATGAATTTTATCAATTTTTTTTAAATAATTGAATTTTAGATGAATTTTATCAATTTTTTTTAAATAATTGAATTCTTTTGCGAAATTTTATAAAAATAATAATTGAATTTCGAATATTTTTTGAAAATATATCGAAAATAATTCAATTTTGAATTGAATTTTTTGAAAATATATTGAAAATAATTGAATTTCGAATATTTTTTAAAAATATATTGAAAATAATTGAATTTCGAATATTTTTTCGAAAATATATTGAAAGTAATTGAATTTCGAATTGAATTTTTTGAAAATATATTGAAAATAATTGAATTTCGAATTGAATTTTTTGAAAATATATTGAAAATGATTGAATTTTGAATATTTTTTGAAAATATATTGAAAATAATTGAATTTCGAATATTTTTTTAAAATAATTGAATCGTTTTAAAGAATTTGATTATAATTTTTGAGTCCTCGTATTAGCGAATTTAAAGTAGTGGAAATTCTCAAAAAAAAACAGAAATAGTATCTTTTAGTAGCTGAAATCGAAAAAAGCACCCAAATAGTAGGATAACGTAAAGAAAATTAGTAAATAGTAGGTTTTAGTAGATGAGTGCGAAGAAATATAAAAAAAAAGTAATGAACCTCTAATAATTGATCCTGCATTGCAAGTGTTGCGGACGCTCCATTATGTCCCAATATCACTCCAATAATTGCTCGACACTTGGAGATTATGGGCGCAATATCCGAATCTTGAAAGCAGGCCAAGGCACAAACTTGTAGAGTGTGAAGTAAACAGGGAACTAGAGTTAAACCACGATTATTCAAAGCTGTTATCAATCCTGGTATTGAAATTGCAATCACAGCGGCAGTTATTTTTTCAATTCTCAATTCCCATTCGGCTAGTAGGGAATCAACGACAATACCCCATTGAATATCATCCCAATCGTCGGGCGCGTGTAATGTACAAAGAACCTTATAATCAAGTGTTGTTTCACCAGGATGTTGATAATAAGTTGAAAATGTAACGAAATTCTCTTTAGTATTCGATCTCCATTCCTCAATAGCGAGTCCAATTTCCGTATTGAGACACGATAAATTCTGTACAATTGACTCTTTATAATTGTCATAAATCTTTGGCAATAAATCGTCTTCCAATTTACTTTTACTTGGTATTTCGCAAGGTGATTTAAGAGTGGCGACCAATTTTTGAAAACCACGACCCTCAACAATTTCTGGTAATTGAAGATCAACGATGACAAATTCAGCGATTGCGTCTAAAATTGCTGATTTTGATTCAGTGCTGCCACATTGTTGAACGGACGTATCGTCGGACATGAGAAAAGCGACATTTGAATTTAAATTACAGGAATTATTTGGATTTTTAATCATCACACGCACTGGTGATGTTACATTGACATCTTCCTCAATGCCCGTTAGGCTGACATTTGGATCGGTTACAAATTGAATGTCACTGTCAATTTGTATTGTCCCATCGGTGTTTGTCGTGTAAATATGTTGAGCTGCTGCTAAACCAGCTTTCAATAGTCTTTTTTGAGCTCTTCGTTCTTTGGCCTCTTGTGATATTATTGGTTTTCGTGGTGGATTTGCCGTTTCCAATTCAAGAAGTTCCTGCGCGTGTTTATTTTGCAAATGCATTCTGAAAAATAAATTTTTTATGCAGACAAAACTATTAATTATAAAAAAAAGAGATTTTTAATAATTCTAGAATTCAAACTGAATTTGTGTTACAATAATTTCTATCAATTATAAAAAAAAAGATTTTTAATGATTCTAGAGTGCAAACTAAATTTTTATTACAATAATTTCCATCAATTTAAAAAAAGAGATTTTTAATGTTTCTAGAGTTCAAACTAAATTTTTATTACAATAATTTCTATCAATTATAAAAAAAAAGATTTTTAATGATTCTAGAGTGCAAACTAAATTTTTATTACAATAATTTCCATCAATTTAAAAAAAGAGATTTTTAAGGTTTCTAGAGTTCAAACTAAATTTTTATTACAATAATTTCTATCAATTATAAAAAAAAGATTTTTAATGATTCTAGAGTTCAAACTAAATTTTTATTACAATAATTTTATTACAATAATTATTTATTCAAATTTTATAAGTATTTTCACCTAAAATTCTTCTACAAATTCATTATTTTTAATAATTTATTAAATATATATTTAAAAATGTAACTAATTTCAGAAGAATTTGAATTATTAAAATTTTTCAAAAATTTAAGTTCTTTAAAATTTTTAGTTAAATTCATTAAAAATTTCAAATTGAAAAACGCAACGTTTTTTAAAACAAAAACGAAACGATTAATTTTATTTTGGCTTCAAATTCATGTTATTTTTGAGTACTTTGTCTTTTAAAAAACAATAAATAACAATTAGAATAAAAATGGAAATAAAAAATTTGAAGAAACTTTAAAAAAATGTTAAAACTTAAAAATTTTCGTTTGCAAAATTTTTAAATTCAACTTTTTGAATTAAATTTATGGTGAAGAAGATAAATAATTTTTTAATTCTTATTGATATTTTCATTTAAAATTTATTTTTTCTCGATTATCGTATTTTTGATATTTTTATTTTGAACTTGTTTTTTAATTTAGTTTTGTTTGTTTGTTAACTTTTGTTTTTTGTATTATTATTTTGATAGACTTGCTGAAGAGCAAAACATTTAGATTTCAAAAAACCTTGAAGCAAATTTTTATTTAAAAAAAAAACGACTTGTCCAAATTATTTCTTTTATTATTTCCCTACAATTAGAAAACAAATATTAGTTCGACAAAAATTTCCAGAAAATTCTTACTTTTTTCACAATATATAAATAATCGTGAAGTAAACATAAAAAGAATGCTAATAAAACGATTGTTAAAAATCGTTCTCTGTTGACTATTTTTCAAATAAAAAATTTTCTGGAAAATTTATTTTAAAACTATAATGGGAATTAAAAAAGAATTTTTTTAAATTACTTAAATTATTTTTTTGAAAGAAAAAATGTTATAAATTTACCTAAGATTACTGGTATTTCGATTGTAGGCAATTTGTGTTTTGCATAAAATGCAAACAATTTTCACTTTGGTGAGAATACTGCCATCGTCCGTTGCTGGAAAACCAAAATATTTCCAATAAATACTTCGCATGGACATTGGCACCACGAGTTTCTTGTAAGTGTAAACATGTTTCTCCTCCAAGAGATTCGGCACTGATACATTGGCACCAGTTGTTTCTTCTTCAAAGAATTCTGGACTCAATACAGGCACAGGTTGTATTTTTCTCGACATATTTTCTTATTATTATTATTTTCCTCTTTTTTTTATATTTCAAATAAATAAAACTTGGAAAAAAAACGTGGGAAAAATTGTACTTTTAACATTATTCCATTTTTACAAAATGGACGCGATATTCATATAACACGTTTTTAGAAATTACTGTCCACTATTTAAACACTTTGTTTTATAAATTCCACCCTATTATCACTTTTATTGTTGTAAATTTCTTTATATTTGAGAAATTTAGCGGGAAAATTAATCGTATTTACAATGGACTTGTTTTTGTCCTTAAAATTTATATATTATCGAAAATTCTCGCTTCGAAAAGAACGATGATGCGATGCGGTTGATATCGACTGAATATCGACTCGCGATGTTACACGACACTTGCCGAGAAATGTCCCGAATTCATCAACCAATCAGCGCTCAACGTTTCCTCACTTCCTCTTTACGAATGACGCACTTCCGGTTTTCAAATTATTTTCCCTATAAAATTAAAAATACAAATTTAATTTATTTTCCCCTGATTTACATATAGAAATTTTACTGTTTCCCTGACGTTAAAGAATATTTTAATTCACTCTATAAATATAATTAAAAACACAGAAAAATATTTAATATTTGAAATTTTTTAGTTTAATTATAAAATTATTCGAAAACGTCTATATAAGTTCTTTTAGATCAATATTGAATCGTTATTATTAATTTTTTAAAATTACTTCTGTACCTAACTTATTCAAAATTATTTTCAAGATTTCAATTCAATTATTTTCTAGAATTTCCAATTAAAATCTTTCTTGAATTCAATTATTTTTCATAATTTTCTAGAAAGTTTCTTAAGAATTTAATTATTCAATATTATTTAATTAAAAAAAAGATGATCAAAAATATTTCTGAAATCTACTTGTTTGCAATATAATTTCGTGAAATTTCAATAATTTGAAAATTTTTCAATTGAATATGTATTAAAAAAATAAAACTAATTTAAAAAAAAATTGAATAAAAATGTTTCAAAAAAATAAATTCTTCAAAATTTTTAATTAAAATTTTTTAAAATTAAACTTTTTAAAAACTTTAATATGAAACTTTGAAATTCAATCTATATTAATAATATTTGTATTTTTAATTTAACATTCTAAAATCAAAAAAATAGTTACTTATAAATGTTTACTAATAAATAATTCAAATTTTTCTTAATTTTAATTTAGAAAATTTTTTGATATATTTTGTGATGATATTATGGTAAAAAAAATTTAGAAATTAATTTGTCTTCCACTATTTCGTATATGAAAATTTTTCTATTTTAAAAAGATAACATTTTTAATAACTTTTTATATTAATTTTTGTAACTTTTTATAATTTTGAATCTATAAAATAATTTTATTTTTGAAAAAAATGTTATCAAAATTCTTGAAAATAATTGAATTCCTTTGAAGAATTTTATGAAAATTTTTTGAAAATAAAAAAATTCTTTTGAGGAATTCAATTAAAATGGTTTTGAAAATAATTCAATTTTTATAAAGAATTTTATCAAAATAATTGAATTCATTTGAGAAATTTTTTTAAAATTGTATTGAAAATAATTGAAATTGAAATTGAAATTGAAATAAATTCTTTTGAGGAATTCAATTAAAATTGTTTTGAAAATAATTGAATTCTTATAAAGAATTTTATCAAAATAATTGAATTTTTTCCAGAAAATTTTTTTTAAATTGTATTTAAAATAATTGAAATTGAAATTGAAATAAAATCTTTTGAGGAATTCAATTAAAATTGTCTTGAAAATAATTGAATTCTTATAAAGAATTTTATCAAAATAATTGAATTTTTTCCAGAAATTTTTTTAAAATTGTATTAAAAATAATTGAAATAGAAATAAATTCTTTTAAGAAATTCAATTAAAATTTTAATGAAAATAATTCAATTCTTGCCGAAGAATTTTATTATAACTTTTGAAAATAATTGAATTTCTTCGAAAGAATATTTAAAATTATAATAATCTTTCGAGAAATTTAATTACAATTGTATTGAAAATAATTTAATTCTTATAAAGAATTTGATCAAAATTTTTTGAAAATAATTGGATTTTTTCTAGGAATTTAATTAAAATTTTTTAAAATAATTTAATTTATTCGAAAAATGTTATAATTTCTTTTAAATAATTGAAATTTTTTAAAATTATATTTTAAAAATAATTGAATTTCTGTTAAGAAATTTATTATTTTTTGAAAATTATTGATTTTTTTCGAAGAATTTTATTACAATTTTTGAAAATAACAAGTAATTACCTAGTTAATGAATAGATTTTTTCAATTTTCAATTTTGAAATTATTGAAAAATTAAAGTTGATATAAAAAATGTTGTAATTTACATAATAAATTAAAAATCTCTGGTTTTGCTAGTTATTTATATTATTTATAAAAAAAATTAAAAGCATGATTTTTAAACAATTTAATTATTTTTTGAATTTTTAAATACAATTTATTCACAAAATAATTTATAAAAATAATCATTTTTCGATATTTATTCGAGAATTGAATTATTTTAAAATAAATTCAATTTCAAATCTGTAAAACGTTACTATAAATTTGTGATTAATTAGGGTCCATAGGAAAGTATTTCTATAATTATCACTCAATTATTTTTTTATTCTTAACAGAAACAACTGTTTAAAAATTTTTTCATTAAATATCAATATTTAAACAAAAACAATTTTTAATATTTACATTATTTTTTTTTGTTTCTTTCAATTTTCGTAAATAGTGTTTAATTTATTTTAAAAAAATTTTATGTAAAAATTTTTTTATTTTAACTTATTTATTAATATTATATATAAATTTTATTAATTTTATTAATTTTACTAATTATAACGAATATAAAAATTGTTAGTTGGATTTATTTTCTTTATTTTCGGTACTTGAAATTTTTTCTTTCTCCTTCATTAATGATTGAAATTCATTTTCATTGTTGAGAATTTGTGCGGAAACATTTGCAATTTTAGCTGCGATAAATAGTGATTCTTGAAAACGTTTCTGAGCATTCTTCAAATTCTGAGGCACAAGAACTCCAAATCTTTTTATTGGATTTGAAATTACTTTCTCGGTGTTTGTCGATTTTTTTAGACTAATATCAAAAACTGGAACGTCCATTTCATTTGATTTTATTGTTTCCAATTGAAATAGTGATTCTATTTCTTCGTCTGCGGTGGGAATTTGTAAACGTCCAATACTTTCTTTTCCACGTATATAACGAGCCTTTGCCAATTCAATATGACCATCACGTAAAATTGTTTCCATTTCAATATTTGCGGAAATTTTCTCCTCCATTAATTCGAGATTCTTCATTGTTAATTTATCCAGATTCTCACAAATCGCCTCCATATTTTTCTCCTGCAAAAAAAGAAGAGAAGAATAATTTTATATTTCAAACAAAATTTTTTTCAATTCAATTTTTTTAATTTTATTAAATATTTAATTTTTTATTTATTCAATTTTTTTAACTAATTAAAAATTTTAATTTATAAATTTTATTTCGCTTAAAAAATACCTGAACGAATTTTTTAATTTCCTCAAAAATTAATGTAACTCAACCAGGATGATTTTTTTTGTAAACAATCATATAATTTCCATAGTTTTTTTGTGGAAAGTGACAATCAAATGTTTTGTAAATTTCTCGATAGTTGGTTAATAAGAATGATTGGATTTGTTTTTGAAAATTGTCATAAATAACAAGAAATGTGGGAAGATGAATTCCTTTAGTGTAATTTTCATCAATCCATTTTTGAGGATTAGCAAAAAATTGTTGAGCCTCTTCAATATAATCCTTGGTGTTATTTAAATTCGGTTCACATTTTAGAAATCTTGTGGAAACATTTTTATGTAAATGACTATAAAGTGGTGTTGAATGACATGGAGTCAAGAAGAGAATATCATCCCCTTGATTTAAATTATTTCTCAAAAATTCCAAACTATTTAATGAACCTTTTTGATGAATCAGTGAGAAATAAACACCGGGTATTAAATTACTGACAATAAATAATCCCAAAAATAGTTTTCTCCGCAATTCGGATATTCTTTTTCTCTCATAATTTCTCGAATTACAGATAAAGATAAATATTGGCAAAAGTGGAAGAATAAAGCGAAATTCTTTATGCTCAAGACACGAGTAGACAAGAATAGTCCAAAAACAAGTGATCAATAAAATCGTCTCACAATGAAATTGTCGCCAATGTCGAAAAATTCGCCAAACTGATGAAATTAGGGTAAAATATTCAATGCCCAATAAAACCGGTAATGCTGACAAAAAATACCAAAAATGATTTTCAACACCATACGATTTTGAAATATTATTCCAAACGTTCATTTTAAAAAATTCCCAAGGTGTAATCACGAAATTTCCATAACAGAAAGAATCGATGAAAGTGGAAATTGTGAGGCAAGTAATTCCAATGAGAAAATAATTAATTAGGATAGAAATTTTTGATCTTGTACAAATATGATAGACGCACAACGGTAGCCAAATAATTGCCGAAGTTGGTCTAATTGTAAATAAAAGACCAACGATCCAAAGGAAAAAATAATTATTCTCCTTTTCTCTCCATGGGAAATGTGAGAGGGCAATAATTGTCAATGATGTTTCAAATGAATTTATTAATGTTCGTGTTGAACAATAATACCAGTACCAATTTATAGAGAGAATAAAAAGACTCCATTTACTTTTGGACCAAATGTAAAATCTATAGTCAGAATAAGCGGTGAGGAGTGATTGAAAAATTCTCGGAAGATAAATTAAAAGTATCGTGTAATCGATAGATAGAAAATGAAGAATATTATAAAGAATTGATATTAGAAAGGGATAAATATAACTACGAATTCTTTCAGTCCATTCCCATGTTAGATGACCATAATTAAATGTTAGTTTGTGTGCGACTTCGAGAGATTGCCAATATTCATCGGGAACATGAAATGTTTGTACGACGAAAACAGAACATAACCTCCAAATTATTAGCAAAAATAATACACTTCGTACTTTGCCAATGCCCATTTCTTCACAATTTTTTTTTATTGTGACACTTTTAACACACTTTTTAAAATTGTTCTTTTATTATATTTCCATTGTAGACAAGTTAGACAAGCTAGACAAGTGTTTATATCGTTTATAATAATTTAGTTGGATTTATAGTTCATTTTGTTTGACAGCAAGCAAGCAGGTGTCACGAGTATTTTGAATGACGTCAGAACTGCCACGCAATACCGCTGGGATCAATAAGAAACTATTTAAATTTTCATCCTTTGACTTTAGTGGTGTTTTACTAAATCGGCAAATTTCGTGTGAGTTCGTGTAAAACAGATGTAAACCGAACGAGGAACGAGTGACGTACGATTCAAGGTAAGTCGTCATAGCAACTGCATGGAAATATTCAGTGTTTTTATAATTTTAATTTAACTTTTGGGAAATAAATACAAAAATGGTGTTAATTTGTTTATATTCTGGTAAAAAGAGGCAAAAGGTGAAAAGAAACTTTTTCACAAATACGTACATATTTAAATAGTAAATACATAAACATATTATTGAAGTGTATATTTTTAGGTTATATTTTGTTTATTTGTTGCATAGAATCCATAAAATATTTTACACACTGTTGTATTATTAAAAACATTACATGTATAATGCTGAATAATTATTTTAGTTTCTTTATCAAATTAAATTACTCTTTTAGATTCACATATAAGGGAAACATATATAATGGGATTAAAATTCAATATGCACTTTGTGCAATCTAAATGAAATTAGAGTCATTAAACCATTTTCTTTTTGACTGTCCAATTTATAATGGGTACAGGAAGTTCTATCTATCTAAAATAACGTCAGATTTCAAAGGTTTGGAAAGAATGACTGAACTCTGTAACGTGTCGGATGAAGCAATTATTAAAAGTATTTGCTTCTACATAATTAATTGTTTACTGTTGCGTTCTTTTATATTAAATGAGTAGTGTCTATATGAATGTAAGAGATTTTTTTTTGTTTTTTGTTATTGTTTCTTTTGATTTGTTAATTTATTTTTGTGAAAAGCGGAACCCTCCTACAACGAAATGTAAATTTCTAAATGTAGCAATAATTATTATTATTATCAAATTAAATTTAAAACAAAAGAGATCAGTGTATACTAGCCTATAATCGTATAATCTGAGTATTATGGGTAGGAAACTCCATCGTTCTTTCTTTTTTTTTTAAATGAAAGGTGAAATTATAAAGAATATTTTATTCTTTACAATAAATATTCAAAAATCGGTCCCGTGCTTAGTAAATCGATTCAAAAACAATTTTTTTACTGTATTTTTGTAAAAAAAGTTTTTTTTGCATAATTCTGAAAGGACTTGATTTTAAGTATAACATTTCAATTTTTTTAAATTCGTTAAATTGTTTCGGAAATATTAACATTTAAAAAAATCCACTATGGCGTAACTTCCACAATTTTGAAAAATCCTTTGGTACATTTATTTTTCTTATCAAAATATAACAATATATATTTGACCAAATTACAGATTGAGGCCTCGGATAATATGACTTTTTTGACTTTTTCGACTATTTTTAAAAAATTGCAACTTTTTTTCAAATAGTGTGAAAATAACTATAAACAAATTTTTCAACATTATATTTTTGAATAATTTTTTTACGATAATAAAATTTAAAAAATATACGTATAATTAAAAAATTTTAGAATAATTGAAATTTTGTAAAATTTAATTGAAAATAATGGATTTTTTTCAAGTATTTATTACAATTGTTGAAGAATTTGAAATGCAAATTTTTAAAATAATTAAATTCTTAAAAATTTTCAAGTGGAAATTTAAAAATGAAAATTAATGAAAATTTGCTTCCATAAAAATTATATTAAAATAATTTAGAAAAAAGAAATTCTTAGAATTTTCCCATTCTAATTTTTAAAATTTTTAAATATTTCAATATTTTCGCACTTACATAATTCAAAAAAATGCAAATACACACAAAAATAATAACATTAAAATTTGTTAGAATTATTTCTAACATTTTGGAGAACACAATTATGTTTAAAAATTTTAATTAAAATTCTTCAAAAAAATTTGTTAGTTTTCTATAACTTACAGAAATTCTTTTAAGAAATTCAATTATTATTTTAAAAAAATTACACGTACAATATTTTTAAAAATCTAATTCTTAGAAATGTTTTGTCATAATTTTTTAAGATTCAAATATCTTCGAACAAAGTAAATTAAAATTTTAAAAATTTAATTTTTTAGACTTAATAAAATTTGAAAAAAAAAACATTCATATTATTTTATAATTAAAATTCTTTAAAAATTGTATTATTTTTTTATATTTTTCAAAAATTCTTTTATTTTTAAAACTATTTATCAAAACTTCAATTATTTTTAATAGATTTTATCAAATTTCAATTATTTGGAAATTTTTCAATTGTACATTTAAAGACTAAAGCGACTTTTTTTGCGCCTTAAAGTCGATCTCATACATATTTTGTTACTAAATATAATAAAGATTTTTAAAAAATTTCTAATCAATTAATTTTAATTTATTTTTAAAATACTTTTTTTTCTACACTGAAAACAATTGAAAAATTGAAAATAATGAAATAATTTCTAAAAACTAATACACTAAAATAAAAAAGAAGAGTAATTTTCGTAAACGATTTTTATTTATTTATTATATCAAACACAGTGTGTCCAGTTGTTAATAATTTGACATTTACTGAATCCTTTGGCTTTAATGTTTTTTTATTATAGTACTAATATTGTAGTACTAAAATATTATTGAAATTTTTCACAATTTACTTTTTTCATTAATTTTTAATAATATAACAGAGTTATTGTTGGAAAATTGAACCAACTTACAAACTAAATTCTATATTTGAATCATAATATTTTAAAAAATAGTCATCACTATGTAATATAATCAAGTACAAAAATAATGTAAATTGCAATTGAAATGCAAAAGTTTAATTAAAACAGTTGCAAATTATTTTTCTGTTTCTTTTTTAAATATCTCGTTGGAATGGTTTATTAACACATCAGTCAATTGAAAATGAATTTTTTTTTTCAAAAATTTAATGGATTGACATAAAAATTTTTGGACGTTGATTGACAAATATATTCATTTGAACAAAACTCAAGAATTTACTTGTTTTTTTTTTCTTGGGAATATTTATATAACGACAGTTGTTACAAATTCGTAAGGTTCAAAATTCATTTATTCCTAAATTGTATATTTCTCGAAAAGGAGGAAACATTATTTATAATAACAACAGGTAGGGTTTGGGGGGAGGGCACTTTTTTTTCTACATTAATATTTATTATAGTATCTAAAAATGGAACCTTACGAATTCGTTGATAATTACACAATTATTTGTCTTAAAATCTATTTTAATCTTAATTATTATTATTAATAAATTCTATAAGTCTCTGGTGTGTTGAAAATGGGTTTTTAAGGAAAAATTTGAACACGGACACAAATATTAAAATATAAGTTCGCTCGACAAAAAAGGTGACTACATATTATGTAGACTCAACTATATTCGTCTCGAAACATTCTTTTTTAATATTAAATTTTCTAAATTACTTTTTTTTTTATTTAACACTTTTATGATAATTCACTAAACTTTCAAATTCGAGCTAAAAATTTATTTAATTTAAATTTGAAAATTTAATTACAAGGAAAAGTTAAATGAGTTTTGAAAATTGAATTTGTTTTCATTGAAATGACCCACTTTAGATTAAATTCTATTTTGTCTTTATAAGAACAAACATACGAAAAGTTACCTATATTTACTGGAAAAAGTGATTTATTTCTTGTCAAATAATTACTGAAGTTAAAATAAATTTTTTCTTCCAGTGTGTCTAGGAATTTTAAATGTAAACTGTAAGCACACGTAGATATATTTTGCAGGAAACAATTATTTTAAAAAAAAGAAAATTATTCTTCGACTGTTTCCTTTTTTTTTAAGCACACGAGATTCTGCACCATTTAATATGGAAGAACTTAATTTTAAATAGAATGATAAAAAATTTAACTAACAGTTAACAATATTTTTTTGCAATAATCTAAAGAAATTTAAGAAATTTAAAATTTCAAAAAATCAATCTATATTGTTAGTTAAAAATTGAAAGATTTTTTTTTTTTAAAGAAAGAAAAATACTGCAGGAAATATTCGTTTTTCTTTTGAAGGCATTTAAAAAAAGCCTTCGCATATTCTGCAAACTGACGTTGCCACGATGCAGTGTTCATATCATCAGCAAACTTAAACCTTCACCTGCATCTTTCATTTTATGTGTGAATTTTACTTATTTACTAAAACACATTATCTTCACAGCATCCGGGTGACAAGTAAAAATGACAAGATTGTAGTCGCAAAGGTTAAAATAACATTTGAAGTAAGATAATTCGATGAACCAGGTTTCGGTTTATTAAAGTGCAAAGTTTTCCAAACACTTTCTGGCACATCGATAAATACTTTGTCAAATCCAATTTCGTGATTAAATTCGTAAGTTTGTCACCATTGACCTCATCGCCTTCACTGGACCAAATCGTCAATGTTGCTTTAGTATTATTAGCGACAAGTTTCTCCATTGCGTCGATACTATTTAATGCTAAACCAGCTCTAACCGCAAAGGTCACATTTTGACTCATATGATTGTCCTTTAGAGTTTTTAACATATCATCAATCTGATGTGTTGTGTAATTTCCCGTTTTGATGTTGTATTTCGTTCCGTATCTAAAAATGGAAGAAAAAAATAATGTTTTTGAATTTTTCAAAGTAGAATATCAGGGCTCGAACTAGATTCGTAAATTTTGCTTCAAGTCCGTAAAAATCCGTAAAGTTCGTATTTGATTCAAAAAAGGATGCAAAATTCGTAAATTGTGCGATATAATTTGGGAGAATTTTAGAGAAACTACAAATTATTACAGAAATTCAATAATTTTCAAAAGTAATAAAATTCTTCCCCTAAAATTCAATTATGTTCAAAATTTTTAAAAATTCTCTTCAAAATTTCAATTATTTTTAGAAATAATAACATTCTTCGCAAAAATTCAATTATTTTTATAAAATAATAAAAATTTCACAGCAATTCAATTATTTACAAATTTTCTATAAATTTCTTCGCAATAATTCA